ATATATATATATATATATATATATATATATATATATATATATACATACATATATATATATATATATATATATATATATACATACATATATACAGTATATTATTGTAGCTGCTGCACTTAAACTCAGAGCCTGTGTCTGTTCAGGAGAAGAAGCTCCTGGAGGATCGCATCTCGGAGGTGACGTCGCTGCTCACGGAGGAGGAGGAGAAGGCCAAGAACCTGGGGAAGACCCGGCACAAGCAGGAGATGATGATGGCGGAGCTCGAGGGTACTGCAGCAGATTTCAACTATTATATTATAAATATATTATTATTATATTTCAACACTAATATTAGGTTTTATCACAAACATATTTACACACAGGAAAAGGTTTTAATAAGTGGGAGTCAAAACGTCCTTGTAGCGCCTTCTTATTTAACAGGAGAGTCCCACTGAGATCTCAGACCCTCTTTGTCAGGGGAGGCCTGGGCCCAGAGAGAGGGGAGCTAATGTACAGGTTTATAGTGGTAGGGCAAACCGGAGCACCTGGAGGAAACCAGAGTTAGTTTTAAAGTATATACAAGTCTGCCAGCTTTAAATAAAACCAATTGTTTAGTATTAGTATTAACTGACGTAAAAGCATAATTTGGACACCTGTAAACTACACATCTATTTGCTTTAGAGCGTTTGAAAAAGGAAGAGAAGACACGGCAGGAGCTGGAGAAGGCAAAGAGGAAACTGGACGGAGAGACCACAGACCTCCAGGACCAGATCGGAGAGCTGCAGACCCAGGTCCAGGAGCTCAAGGCACAGCTGGGCAAGAAGGAGGAGGAGCAGCAGATGATCCAGGCCAGGTATGTCCCACAGAGGACACCGTACAGAGGTATGTCCCACAGAGGACACCGTATGTCCCACAGAGGACACCGTACAGAAGTATGTCCCACAGAGGACACCGTACAGAGTTATGTCCCACAGAGGACACCGTACAGAGTTATGTCCCACAGAGGACACCGTACAGAGTTATGTCCCACAGAGGACACCGTACAGAGGTATGTCCCACAGAGGACACCGTACAGAGGTATGTCCCACAGAGGACAGGTCCTCTGGGAGGGTCCTGCTGGGGGAGGGTTGTGCTGGGGGAGGGTCCTGCTGTGAGAGAGTCTTGCTGGGGAAGGGTCCTGCTGTGAGAGGGTCTTGCTGGGGGAGGGTCCCGCTGGGGGAGGCTCCTGCTGTGGGAGGGTCCTGCTGTGGGAGGGTCCTGCTGTGGGAGGGTCCTGCTGGGGGAGGGTCCTACTTTGGGTGGGTCCTGCTGGGGGAGGATCCTGCTGTGGGTGGGAGGGTCCTGACAGAGTGAGGTACAGTGAGTTATTATGAGTGAATGAATCAGACATGTTTAGGACAAACTCCATGAGACACTCACATGGTCCTGAATAAAGTAAACTATAAACATCCACTTCTCTGGTGTGAAGTTTGTGACATAAACACAAACTGATTCATTCTGTCATAAGGTCATCATCATTCAATTAGTAATAATAATGCACTCTTTAGGATCCATGGGACTTAATGAATATGTAAATAACTCTTCATCACGTGACAGTGTCTCATTCATTGAACAGCCCTGTGTGGACTAGTGGCGCCCCCTGGTGGAGAACAGACAGATTATTTCAAATACTAAAACCCAGGCTGGCTCCTACTCAGTCAAAATTATATGAATCTCAGACGGAGCATTTTAACCCAACCTCAAAACTCGTAGTAAATGAACAGTACAAACACAGGTACAAACTGGTACACACTGGTACACACAGGTACACACAGGTACACACAGGTACACACAGGTACACACAGGTATACACAGGTACACACTGGTACACGCTGGTTACACAGGTACACACAGGTACACACAGGTACACACTGGTACACACTGGTTACACACTGGTTACACAGGTACACACAGGTACACACACAGCAGGAGAAAGTTCCTTTAGATTCAACTTCAAATGTGACATAAACGATGAAAACAAAGCATCAGTGAAGTTATCATGATAAAGATTTTGGTTTTTAACAACTGTGAGCAGCAATCAACAATATTAACACTCTTGTTATGGTTCGTATATGATATGTGTGTATATCATATATATTTGTATGTACTGTATGTATATTTGTGTTCCAGAGGAGAGGAGGAGGTGATCCACAGAAACACAGCCGTAAAACAGCTGCGAGAGGCACAGGTGCAGCTGTGTGAGCTACAGGAGGATCTGGACTCAGAGAAACAGGCCAGAGCCAAAGCAGAGAAACTGAAGCGAGACCTCAGCGAGGAACTGGAGGCGCTGAAGACTGAGCTGGAAGATACACTGGATACCACAGCCACTCAGCAGGAGCTAAGGTACAGCCGCTCAGCAGGAGCACAGGTACAGCTGCTCAGCAGGAGCACAGGTACTACAGCCGCTCAGCAGGAGCACAGGTACGCACTACAGCAGGAGCTCAGGTACACACTACAGCAGGAGCTCAGGTACACACTACAGCAGGAGCTCAGGTACACACTACAGCAGGAGCTCAGGTACACACACTACAGCAGGAGTTCAGGTACACACAGGTACATAAAACACAAACTCATATTTAATAAAAGTCATGATTTGGTCAAAGCCAGTGATGAGCAGATGAAGTAACACAGTAACACTGACCTCTAGTGGACACATGTAATCATTACAGCTCCTGAACCGCACACTGCATTTAATAATAATGGTTTACTTCTGATTTCAGTCTGAGGCCATGGTTTACTTCTGGTTCAGTCTGAGACCCATGGTTTACTTCTGGTTCAGTCTGAGACCCATGGTTTACTTCTGGTTTCAGTCTGAGACCATGGTTTACTTCTGGTTCAGTCTGAGACCCATGGTTTACTTCTGGTTTCAGTCTGAAACCCATGGTTTACTTCTGGGTCAGTCTGAGAACCATGGTTTACTTCTGGGTCAGTCTGAGACCATGGTTTACTTCTGGTTTCAGTCTGAGACCATGGTTTACTTCTGGTTTCAGTCTGAGACCATGGTTTACTTCTGGGTCAGTCTGAGACCCCTGGTTTACTTCTGGTTCAGTCGGAGACCCCTGGTTTACCTTTTGGGTCAGTCTGAGACCCATGGTTTACTTCTGGTCCAGTCTGAGACCCCTGGTTTACTTCTGGTTTCAGTCTGAGACCCATGGTTTAGTTCTGGTTTACTTCTGGTCTCTAACAGCGTCCTCTGTATCTCAGGACGAAGCGTGAGCAGGAAGTGGCGGAGCTGAAGAAAACCATCGATGACGAGAGCAAAAACCACGAGGCTCAGATTCAGGACCTGAGACAGCGACACGCTGCTGCTCTGGAGGAACTGACCGAGCAACTGGAGCAGACCAAGAGGGTACAGACTCACTCACTCACTCACTCACTCACTCACTCACTTACTCACTCACTCACTCACTCACTCACTCACTCACTCACTCACTCACTCACTCACTCACTCACTCACTCACTCACTCACTCACTCACTCACTCACTCACTCACTCACTCACTCACTCACTCACTCACTCACTCACTCACTCACTCACTCACTCACTCACTCACACACTCACTCACTCACTCACTCACTCACTCACTCACTCACTCACACACTCACTCACTCACTCACTCACTCACTCACTCACTCACTCACTCACACACTCACTCACTCACTCACTCACTCACTCACTCACTCACTCACTCACTCACACACTCACTCACTCACTCACTCACTCACTCACTCACTCACTCACTCACTCACTCACTCACTCACTCACTCACTCACTCACTCACTCACTCACTCACTCACTCACTCACTCACTCATTCATCCATTCATGTGTCTATGGTGTCTTTGGTGTCAGTGGTGTTTATGGTGTGTGTGGTGTTTATGGTGTCTGTGTCTGTGGTGTTTATGGTGTCTGTGTATGCGGTGTTTATGGTGTCTGTGTATGCGGTGTTTATGGTGTCTGTGGTGTTTATGGTGTCTGTGGTGACTGTGTCTGTGGTGTTTATGGTGTCTGTGTCTGTGGTGTCTGGTGTTTATGGTGTCTGTGGTGTTTATGGTGTCTGTGTTTATGTTGTCTGTGGTGTTTATGGTGTCTGTGGTGTTTATGGTGTCTGTAATGTCTGTGGTGTCTGTAGTTCAAGGCCAACCTGGAGAGGACCAAGCAGAGTGAGGAGAGCAGTAACCAGGAGCTGAGGGCGGAGCTGAAGGTTCTGCATCAGAGCAAAGCAGAGTCTGAGCACAGAAGGAAGAAGCTGGAATCACAGCTGCAGGAGCTGTCTGTCCGGAACACCGAGGGAGAGAAGACCAGGGCCGAGCTGCAGGACCGGACTCACAGACTACAGGTACACACAGACTACAGGTACACACACAGGCTACAGCTACAAACGCAGACTACAGGTACACACACAGACTACAGGTACACACACAGGCTACACGTGCACACACAGGCCACAGGTGCAAACGCAGACTACAGGTACACACAGGCTACAGGTACACACACAGACTACAGGTACGCACACAGACTGCAGGTACACACACAGGCTACAGGTACACACACAGGCTACAGGTACCAACGCAGACTACAGGTACACACACAGGCTACAGGTACACACAGGCTGCAGGTACACACGGACTACAGGTCAGAGAGGAACACAGAGCTGAACACAGACCTGTACCTGGGGTCAGATCAAAGGGTCCTGTACCTGGGGGTCAAATCAAAGGGACCTGTACCTGGAGTCAGATCAAAGGGTCCTGTAACTGGGGTCAGATCAAAGGGACCTGTACCTGGGGTCAGATCAAAGGGTCCTGTAACTGGGGTCAGATCAAAGGGACCTGTACCTGGGGTCAGATCAAAGGCACAGTTTATATGTCTGTGTTTTGATGTTTCAGGCTGAATTGGATTCTGTGTCTTCGCTGCTGGAGGACGCAGAGAGGAACAGCATCAAGATGGAGAAGAACGTGTCCGGACTGGAGAGCCAGCTGCAGGACACACAGGTACCAGCAGGACACACAGGTACCAGCAGGACTCACAGGTACCAGCAGGACACACAGGTACCAGCAGGACTCACAGGTACCAGCAGGACACACAGGTACCAGCAGGACATATAGGTACCAGGAGGACACATAGGTACCAGCAGGACACACAGGTACCAGCAGGACTCACAGGTACCAGCAGGACACATAGGTACCAGCAGGACTCACAGGTACAAGCAGGACACACAGGTCCCAGCAGGACTCACAGGTACCAGTAGGACACACTGGTACCAGCAGGACACACAGGTACCAGCAGGACACATAGGTACCAGGAGGACACATAGGCACCAGCAGGACACACAGGTACCAGCAGGACTCACAGGTACCAGCAAGATACAGGTACCAGTAGGACACACAAGTACCAGCAGGACTCACAGGTACCAGCAGGACACACAGGTACCAGCAGGACTCACAGGTACCAGTAGGACACACTGGTACCAGCAGGACACACAGGTACCAGCAGGACTCACAGGTACAAGCAGGACACACAGGTACCAGCAGGACACACATGTACCAGCAGGACACATGTACCAGCAGGACACAGGTACCAGCAGGACACAGGTACCAGCAGGACTCACAGGTACCAGTAGGACACACTGGTACCAGCAGGACACAGGTACCAGCAGGACACACATGTACCAGCAGGACACAGGTACCAGCAGGACACACATGTACCAGCAAGACTCACAGGTACCAGCAGAGGCAACATAGGTACCAGAAAAAGGTGGAAATACATATATAAAACCCCTTTGATCTCCTGGGACGACAATGGCTCAGTGTGTAGGGCATTGGCCTTTGAGCCTGAAGGTCGTGGGTTCGAGTCCACCACAAGACCTTCTCCACCGACTCCCACTGATGACTGGTGTCGTTGTGTCCTTGGGCATGACACTTAACCCCACTTTACCTGTAGCCCCCCCTGAAAGATCAAGGCTGTGTCGTCACTGACAGAGCAGCCTCCTGTGGACTCACCTCCTGCAGGAGGATCAGTGACAACCAGGAGGAGCAGGAGGATCAGGAGGAGCAGTGAGGATCAGGGACTCTGAGTGCCACCCCTGACCCAGAAATGGATGAAAGGGAAGACAATGGATGGATCCCGTCACGAGAATTTTCAGGTTTATGTTTGTGGCCAACACAGTCTGAGCTGCTGCTGAGGTGTTTGTTCAGAGAGTTTAGTTTCACTTTGATGAAGAAATGATTACATTGGAACAAATCAGTTTTTTGATACAGAGAGATGTGTTCATCATGTGTTCATCATGTGTTCATCAGAGGTTCATCATGTGTTCATCATGTGTTCATCAGAGGTTCATCATGTGTTCATCATGTGTTCATCATGTGTTCATCATGTGTTCATCAGAGGTTCATCATGTGTTCATCATGTGTTCATCATGTGTTCATCATGTGTTCCTCATGTGTTAGTCATGTGTTCATCATGTGTTCATCATGTGTTCATCAGAGGTTCATCATGTGTTCATCATGTGTTCATCATGTGTTCATCATGTGTTCCTCATGTGTTAGTCATGTGTTCATCATGTGTTCATCATGTGTTCATCATGTGTTCATCTGCAGGAGCTGCTGCAGGAGGAGACTCGACAGAAGCTCAGTCTCAGTTCTCGTCTGAGGAGTCTGGAGGAGGAGAAGAGAGCTCTGCAGGAGCAGCAAGAGGAGGACGAGGAGGCGCGAAGGAACATGGACAAGCAGCTGCTGACTCTGCAAGCACAGGTACAGGCTCTGCAAGCACAGGTACAGGCCCTGTGCTCTGCTTTCCTTGATCTGTCACAGGGACAGCACAGCTGGCAGTAAACATTACTCCATAATGTATGAAGTGAAGGTCTGTGGGCTCCTCCCTCTGTTTTCTACTGAAGACATTATACCACATTATTAAACTCATAACTGTGACGCCACCTGCAGGTGAAAGACAGATCCCTCACAACTCTGAAGCTAAGCAGGGCAGGGCCTGGTTAGTACTATGATGAGAGACCTCTGGGAACACCAGGTGCCACAGTGGGGCGGCTGCGGCTGTAAAGTGCCAAACTGTGGTTGTGTCCTTAGGCAAGACACTTCCCCCACATTAGAATGAGTCTGGTGTGTGTGTGAATGGTTGGTGGTGGTGGGATCACCTCAGTGTACGGAGTGATTGAATAATGATATATTCAGAGTATTATCAGAGTATAGTCAGAGTGTATTCACAGTATATTCACAGTATAATCAGAGTATATTCAGAGTATACACAGAGTATATTGACTGAGTGTGTTGCAGCTTTGTGAGAGCAGGAAGAAGCTGGAGGAGGACGTGGGGACCGTGGACAGTCTAGAGGAGAGTAAGAAGAAGCTGCAGAAGGAGCTGGAGCTGTCGTGTCTGAGGCTGGAGGAGAAGAGCGCCGCCTTCGACAAGATGGAGAAGACCAAGACCAGACTTCAGCAGGAGCTGGACGACCTGAGCGTGGACCTGGACCATCAGAGGCAGACCGTGTGCAACCTGGAGAAGAAGCAGAAGAAGTTTGACCAGGTACAGCTCCTGGAGAGTGTAGAGAGGGCGATGTTTATCATGTGTTTGTGTGTGTGTAGAATGTATATGAACATCAGAGAAACCATGACAGAGACAGAATCAAACACTGAAACTGCACACGTTCTACTTTCTCTGGTCTCACTCTGGTCTCACTCTGGTCTCTCTCTGGTCTCACTCTGGTCTTACTCTGGTCTCTCTCTGGTCTCACTCTGGTCTCTCTCTGGTCTCTCTCTGGTCTCTCTCTGGTCTCTCTCTGGTTTCTCTCTGGTCTCACTCTGGTCTCTCTCTGGTCTCTCTCTGGTCTCACTCTGGTCTCTCTCTGGTCTCACTCTGGTCTCTCTCTGGTCTCTCTCTGGTCTCTCTCTGGTCTCTCTCTGGTCTCTCTCTGGTCTCACTCTGGTCTCACTCTGGTCTCTCTCTGGTCTCACTCTGGTCTCTCTCTGGTCTTACTCTGGTCTCTCTCTGGTCTCTCTCTGGTCTCTCTCTGGTCTCTCTCTGGTCTCACTCTGGTCTCTCTCTGGTCTCACTCTGGTCTCTCTCTGGTCTCACTCTGGTCTCACTCTGGTCTCTCTCTGGTCTCTCTCTGGTCTCACTCTGGTCTCTCTCTGGTCTCACTCTGGTCTCTCTCTGGTCTCTCTCTGGTCTCTCTCTGGTCTCTCTCTGGTCTCTCTCTGGTCTCACTCTGGTCTTACTCTGGTCTCTCTCTGGTCTCACTCTGGTCTCTCTCTGGTCTCTCTCTGGTCTCTCTCTGGTCTCTCTCTGGTTTCTCTCTGGTCTCACTCTGGTCTCTCTCTGGTCTCTCTCTGGTCTCACTCTGGTCTCTCTCTGGTCTCACTCTGGTCTCTCTCTGGTCTCTCTCTGGTCTCTCTCTGGTCTCTCTCTGGTCTCTCTCTGGTCTCACTCTGGTCTCTCTCTGGTCTCTCTCTGGTCTCTCTCTGGTCTCTCTCTGGTATTGTGGTTTTATTGTGTGTTGTGTATCTGCAGATGCTATCTGTGTTTAGTGTTTATAGTGTGTTGTGTGTCTACAGATGCTGTGTGTATTGTGTGTTGTGTGTCTGCAGATGCTGTGCGTATAGTGTGTTTATTGTATGTTGTGTGTCTGCAGATGCTGGCAGAGGAGAAGTGTGTGTCCGTGCGGTTTGCGGAGGAGAGAGACCGCGCTGAGGCCGAGGCCCGAGAGAAAGAGACTAAAGCTCTGTCCTTGAGCCGGGCCCTGGACCAGGCGCTGGAGGCCAAGGACCAGATGGAGAGACTCAACAAACAGCTGCAAGCGGAGATGGACGACCTCATCAGCTCCAAGGACCATGTGGGAAAGAACGTAAGTGTGTGCGTCCAGGAAGTGTGTGTGTCCAGGAAGTGTGTGCGTTCAGGAAGTGTGTGTGTGTGTGTGTCCAGGAAGTGTGTTTCCAGGAAGTGTGTGTGTCCAGAGGGAAGTGTGTGCTCCTCCTTCACCTCCTCCTCTGTCCCACCTCCCTCTCCTCCTCCTCTCTCACCTCCTCCTCCCTCTCCTCCCTTGCTTCCTCCCTCACCTCCTCCTCCCTCACCTCCTCCTTCACCTCCTCCGTCCCTCTCCTCCTCCTTCACCTCCTCCGTCCCTTTCCTCCTCCTTCACCTCCTCCGTCCCTTTCCTCCTCCTTCACCTCCTCCGTCCCTTTCCTCCTCCTTCACCTCCTCCTCACCTCCTCCTCCCTCTCCTCCTCCTCCCTCACCTCCTCCCTCTCCTCCTCCCTCACCTCCTCCTTCACCTCCTCCGTCCCTCTCCTCCTCCTTCACTTCCTCCTCCCTCTCCTCCTCCTCCTCCTCCCTCTCCTCCTCCCTCCCTCACCTCCTCCTCCCTCACCTCCTCCTTCACCTCCTCCGTCCCTCTCCTCCTCCCTCACCTCCTCCTTCACCTCCTCCTCACCTCCTCCTCCCTCTCAGCCTCCTCCCTCTCCTCCTTCCTCACCTCCTCCTTCCCTCTCCTCCTCCTCCCTCACCTTCTCCCTTTCCTCCTCCCTATCCTCCTCCTCCTCACCTCCTCCTCCCTCTCCTCCTCCTTATCTCCTCCTCCCTCTCCTCCTCCATCACCACCTCCCTCTCCTCCTCCCTCACCTCCTCTGTCCCTCCTCCCTCAACACCTCTCCTCCTCCTCCCTCTCCTCCTTCCTCACCTCCTCCTTCCCTCTCCTCCTCCTCCCTCACCTCCTCCCTCACCTTCTCCCTTTCCTCCTCCCTATCCTCCTCCTCACCTCCTCCTCTCTCTCCTCCTCCTTACCTCCTCCTCCCTCACCTCGTCCTTCACCTCCTCCTCCCTCTCCTCCTCCATCACCACCTCCCTCTCCTCCTCCCTCACCTCCTCTGTCCCTCCTCCCTCAACACCTCTCCTACTCTCTCACTTCCTCCTTCCATCTTCTCCTCCTCCCTCTCCTCCTCCCTCTCCTCCTCCTGCCTCACCTCCTCCCTCTCCTTGTCCCTCTCCTCCTCCCTTTCCTCCTCCTCCCTCTCCTCCTTCACATCCTCCCTCTCCTCCTCACCTTCTCCCTTTCCTCCTCTCTATCCTCCTCCTCCCTCTCCTCCTCCTTACCTCCTCCTCCCTCACCTTGTCCTTCACCTCCTCCTCCCTCTCCTCCTCCCTCACCACCTGCCTCTCCTCCTCCTTCCCCTCCTCTATCCCTCCTCCCTCAACACCTCTCCTCCTCTCTCACTTCCTCCTCCTCTCTTCCTCCTCCTCACCTCCTCCTCTCTCACCTCCTCCTCACCTCCTCCTCAGGTGCATGAGTTGGAGAGGTCTAAGCGGTCCCTGGAGCAGCAGCAGGAGGAGATGAAGACACAGTTGGAGGAGTTGGAGGACGAGCTGCAGGGAACAGAAGACGCTAAACTGCGGCTGGAGGTGAACATTCAGGCGCTGAGAGCACAGCACGAGAGAGACCTCCAGGGACGGGACGAGCAGAACGAGGAGAAGAAGAGAGCACTACTCAAACAGGTGACAGGTTTTATTTATGTAGCGTACTGAACCCCTGCAGGAGAGAGACCTCTGTCCAGGAGGAGAGAGACCTCTGTCCAGGAGGAGAGAGACCTCTGTCCAGGAGGAGAGAGACCTCTGTCCAGGAGGATGTGTGTGTAGTAACGTGTGTGTAGTAACATGTGTGTGTCTGAGTAACATGTGTGTGTGTCAGTAACACGTGTGTAGTAACGTGTGTGTAATAACATGTGTGTGTGTCTCAGTAATGTGTGTGTCTCAGTAACATGTGTGTAGTAACGTGTGTGTAATAACATGTGTGTGTCTCAGTAACATGTGTGTGTCTGAGTAACATGTGTGTGTCTGAGTAACATGTGTGTGTGTCAGTAACATGTGTGTAGTAACGTGTGTGTAAGTGTGTGTCTCAGTAACATGTGTGTGTCTCTGTAACATGTGTGTGTCTCAGTAACATGTGTGTGTAATAACGTGTGTAGAAACATGTGTGTGTAATAACATGTGTGTGTCTCAGTAACATGTGTGTGTCTCAGTAACACGTGTGTCTCTGTAACATGTGTGTGTAGTAACATATGTGTGTAGTAACTTGTGTGTAGTAACATGTGTGTAGTAACGTGTGTGTAGTAACGTGTGTGTAATAACATGTGTGTGTCCAGGTGCGAGAGCTGGAGCTGGAGCTGGAGGATGAGAGAAAACAAAAATCTGTGGCTGTCGGTGCAAAGAAGAAGCTGGAACAGGACCTGAAGAACATGGAAGGACACATCCAGGGGTCCTCCAGGGCCCGGGACGAGGCCATCAAGCAGCTGCGCAAGACACAGGTACGCTACTCATAGGTACACTACACATAGGTACGCTACACATAGGTACGCTACACACAGGTACGCTACACACAGGTACGCTACACACAGGTACGCTACACACAGGTACGCTACACACAGGTACGCCACACACCGGTACGCTACACACAGGTACGCCACACACCGGTACGCTACACAAAGGTACGCTACACACTGGTACGCTACACACCGGTACGCTACACACAGGTACGTTACACACAGGTACGCCACACACAGGTACGCCACACACAGGTACGCCACACACAGGTACGCTACACACAGGTACAGGTTCCATGCTGGATCATCTCACTCACTTTGGCCCCAGAGGAATGTTGTGAGATCATTGAAACTATTTGAGGTCATTGACATAATATAAATAAATTGTCATATTTAGTCATGGTCTATATTTTACTGTTTGGTTCTGTGGGTTCTGTAGGTTCTGTGGGTTCTGTAGGCTCTGTAGGTTCTGTAGATCCTGTGGGTTTTGTAGATTCTGTGGGTTCTGTTGGCTCTGTAGGTTCTGTGGGTTCTATAGGTTCTGTGGGTTATGTAGGTTTTGTAGGTTCTGTGGGTTCTGTAGGTTCTGTGGGTTCTTTAGGATCTATAGGTTCTGTGGGTTATGTAGGTTTTGTAGTTTCTGTGCGTTCTGTAGGTTCTGTTTGGTTCTGTGGGTCCTGTAGGTTCTGTGGGTTCTGTGGGTTCTGTAGGTTCTGTGGGTTATGTAGGTTTTGTAGGTTCTGTGGGTTCTGTAGGTTCTGTTTGGTTCTGTGGGTCCTGTAGGTTCTGTAGGTTCTGTGGGTTCTTTAGGATCTGTAGGTTCTGTGGGTCCTGTAGGTTCTGTAGGTTCTGTGGGTTCTTTAGGATCTGTAGGTTCTGTGGGTTATGTAGGTTTTGTAGGTTCTGTGGGTTCTGTAGGTTCTGTGGGTTATGTAGGTTTTGTAGGTTCTGTGGGTTCTGTAGGTTCTGTGGGTTATGTAGGTTTTGTAGGTTCTGTGGGTTCTGTAGGTTCTGTTTGGTTCTGTGGGTCCTGTAGATTCTGCAGGTTCTGTAGGTTCTGTAGGTTCTGTGGTTTATGTAGGTTTTGTAGGTTCTGTGGGTCCTGTAGGTTATGTAGGTTCTGTGGGTTCTTTAGGATCTGTAGGTTCTGTGGGTTCTGTTTGGTTCTGTATGTTTTGTAGGGTCTGTGGGTTCTGTGAACATGTTCTGATGTGTCCAGGCCCAGATGAAGGACCACCAGAGGGAGCTGGAGGAAACCAGAACTTCTCGTGACGACATTTTCTCTGCAGCAAAAGAGAACGAGAAGAAAGTGAAGAGTTTGGAGGAGGAGGTTCTGCAGCTGCAGGAGGTCAGACTCAGACTGTGGAGGAGGTGCAAGACCAGGACTCAGACTGTGGAGAGGTGCAGGAGGTCAGACTCAGACTGTGGAGGAGGTGCAGGACCAGGACTCAGACTGTGGAGGAGGTGCAAGACTAGGACTCAGACTGTGGAGGAGGTGCAAGGAGGTCAGACTCAGACTGTGGAGGAGGTGCAGGACCAGGACTCAGACTGTGGAGGAGGTGCAAGACTAGGACTCAGACTGTGGAGGAGGTGCAAGGAGGTCAGACTCAGACTGTGGAGGAGGGGCAGGACCAGGACTCAGACTGTGGAGAGGTGCAGGAGGTCAGACTCAGACTGTGGAGGAGGTGCAAGGAGGTCAGACTCAGACTGTGGAGGAGGTGCAGGACCAGGACTCAGACTGTGGAGAGGTGCAGGAGGTCAGACTCAGACTGTGGAGGAGGTGCAAGGAGGTCAGACTCAGACTGTGGAGGAGGTGCAGGACCAGGACTCAGACTGTGGAGGAGGTGCAAGGAGGTCAGACTCAGACTGTGGAGGAGGTGCAGGACCAGGACTCAGACTGTGGAGAGTGCAGAGGTCAGACTCAGACTGTGGAGGAGGTGCAAGGAGGTCAGACTCAGACTGTGGAGGAGGTGCAGGACCAGGACTCAGACTGTGGAGAGGTGCAGGAGGTCAGAATCAGACTGTGGAGGAGGTGCAAGGAGGTCAGACTCAGACTGTGGAGGAGGGGCAGGACCAGGACTCAGACTGTGGAGAGGTGCAGGAGGTCAGAATCAGACTGTGGAGGAGGTGCAAGGAGGTCAGACTCAGACTGTGGAGGAGGTGCAGGACCAGGACTCAGACTGTGGAGAGGTGCAGGAGGTCAGAATCAGACTGTGGAGGAGGTGCAAGGAGGTCAGACTCAGACTGTGGAGGAGGGGCAGGACCAAGACTCACTCTCCTTATTCTTCTCCTCCTTCTCCTCCTCCTCCCCCTTCTCCTTCTCCTCCCCCTCCTCCTCCCCCCCTCCGCCTCCTCCTTCTCCTCCTCCTCCTCCTCCTTCTCCTTCTCCTCCTCCTCCTCTTCCTACTCCTCCTCCTTCTCTTCCTCCTCCTCCTCCTGCTCTAGGATCTGGCAGCTTCAGAGCGAGGTCGACGTCATGCTGAGCAGGAGCGAGACGAGCTTCAGGACGACATCTCCAACAGCACCTCTGGAAAGTACGACAGACACAGACAGAGAGAGAGAGACAGACAGACAGAGAGAGACAGAGAAACACACAGACAGACAGGTAGACACAGACAGAGAGAGAGAGAGAGACAGACAGACAGAGAGAGAGAGACAGACACACACAGACACAGAGAGCTAGACAGATGGACAGACACAGAAAGACACAGACAGACAGAGAGAGGGACACACAGACAGACAGAGAGAAAAACAGACACTGACAGACAGACACAGAGACAAACAGATAGGCAGACAGACAGAGAGACAGACAGACAGACAGAGATACAGTTAGAGAGACAGACAGAGACAGATAGACAGACAGACAGACAGACACAGATAGACAGACAGACAGACAGACACAGAGAGACAGATAGACAGACGCAGACAGACAGACAGACAGTTAGACAGACAGACAGACAGACAGAGATACAGTTAGAGAGACAGACAGAGACAGATAGACAGACAGACACAGATAGACAGACAGACAGACAGACACAGAGAGACAGATAGACAGACGCAGACAGACAGACAGACAGAGATACAGTTAGAGAGACAGACAGAGACAGATAGACAGACAGACAGACAGACACAGAGAGACAGATAGACAGACACAGATAGACAGACAGACAGACAGACACAGACAGACAGTGTAAGGACATGAGGACAACGTCTGTGGTTACGGCTCAATGTTTTTGGGTTAGTGCTGTGGTTAGTGGGAGGAGCCTGATTCTTGTGTGTGTCTCTGTGTGTGTGTGTGTGTGTGTGTGTGTGTGCGTGTACCTTTGTGTGTGTGTTGCCAGGTCAGCTCTGATGGAGGAGAAGAGGCGTCTGGAGGCTCGTATGGCGCAGTTGGAGGAGGAGCTGGAGGAGGAGCAGGGGAACATGGAGCTGCTCAACGACCGCTACCGGAAGATGGCTCTGCAGGTCACACTCACACACACTCACACACACACAAACACAGACAGACACACACACACACGCACACACACAGACACACGCACACACACACACACACACACACACACAGTTAAATACTGTGTTCTCCTCGTTATGGACCTGACACTGGACAGAAGATACACCTCCTCATATTATTCAGACATTACTAAGATGGAGGAAAGAAATACTTTTATTATGAACTGAAGCAAACTCCTGATCCTTGAACCTTCAGGACTTTATCACAGACGTCATTATTCTCCACAGACGACTCAAAACATTCACAACACAACCACAGGGACGAGGACCTACAGCTGTGTGGCCCCTGAGTGGCCCCTGAGTGACTGTGGCCCATGTGTGACTGTGGCCCCTGAGTGACTGTGACCTCTGTGTGACTCTGGCCCCTGAGTGTGTGACTGTGGCCCCTGATTGTGTGACTGTGGCCCCTGAGTGAGTGACTGTGGCCCCTGAGTGTGTGACTGTGGCCCTTGTGTGTGTGACTGTGACCCCTGAGTGACTGTGGCCCCTGCGTGTGTGACTGTGACCCCTGTGTGACTCTGGCCCCTGAGTGTGTGACAGTGGACCCTGAGTGACTGTGGCCCCTGGACTCTCTGCAGGTGGACTCCCTGAGCACAGAGCTGAGTGCAGAGCGGAGCGGGGCCCTGAAGAGTGAGACCTCTCGGCAGCAGCTGGAGAGACAGAACAAGGAGCTGAAAACCAAACTGAGTGAACTGGAGGTGACCGTAAAGAGCCGCTTCAGGGCCTCCCTCTGTGCTCTGGAGGCCAAGGTCTCACAGCAGGAGGAGCAGCTGGAGCAGGAGGCCAGGTCAGTACGGCCCTGAACCAGTGTGAAAGATACATGTAACAGTGCTGTACTAGTGTGAATGATACATGTAATAGTAATGAACTAGTGTGAATGATACATGTAACAGTACTGTACTAGTGTGAAAGATACATGTAACAGTCCTGTACTAGTGTGAATGATACATGTAACAGTACTGTACTAGTGTGAATGATACATGTAACAGTACTGTACTAGTGTGAATGATACATGTAACAGTGCTGTACTAGTGTGAATGATACATGTAACAGTGCTGTACTAGTGTGAATGATACATGTAACAGTCCTGTACTAGTGTGAATGATACATGTAACAGTACTGTACTAGTGTGAATGATACATGTAACAGTGCTGTACTAGTGTGAATGATACATGTAACAGTGCTGTACTAGTGTGAATGATACATGTAACAGTGCTATACTAGTGTGAATGATACATGTAACAGTGCTGTACTAGTGTGAATGATACACTTGCTAAAACAGCGCACTTGCCCGTCCCAAATCTTTAGTTGCCCCGGGCAACGGACAACCATTAATGTCGAGCCTTGCATGTAAGACCAGTTTTTTTTGTATAGCACAGTTTATACAGACCATGTGAGGCAATTCAAGAACAGGAGCCTTTGAATCACACAAGACACTGAGACTATCATGATAACCAGAGAAGAAGAACGAACTGTCTCACCTCATGATGTTCCGGGTCTCACTCTATTGTAAAAAACCAGGAGCCAGAGCAGAGCGCTGAGACCAGGACTGATGTGATGGTACTTGGTGTGTGTGTGCATGAATATTGTGTGTATTTGAGAGAGATGTGTGTTTGTCGCAGGGAGAGAGCAGCCGCCAACAAACTGGTGCGAAGATCTGACAAGAGGCTGAAGGAGGTCTGCATGCAGGTGGAGGAGGAGAGACGCCATGGAGACCAGTACAAGGAGCAGGTGAGAGACCAGCAGGAGCAGGTGGAGGAGGAGAGACGTCATGGAGACCAGTACAAGGAGCAGGTGAGAGACCAGGTTGGGTAGATTAGGGTAGGGTAGAGTAGAGTTGGGTAGAGTAGGGTAGAGTTGGGTAGGGTAGAGTAGAGTTGGGTAGAGCAGGGTAGGGTAGAGTAGAGTTGGGTAGAGTAGAGTAGGGTAGGGAGCAGGGTAGGGTAGAGTAGAGTTGGGTAGAGCAGGGTAGGGTAGAGTAGAGTTGGGTAGAGCAGGGTAGGGTAGAGTAGAGTTGGGTAGAGTAGAGTTGGGTAGGGTAGAGTAGAGTTGGGTAGAGTAGGGTAGAGTTGGGTAGAGTAGAGTAGGGTAGAGCAGACTGAGACTTCAAAAACAGATGTATGATGGGTGTGTGTGTGTGTTTACCTGTGTGTGTGTTTACCTGTGTGTGTGTCTGCAGTTGGAAAAGGCCACGTCTCGTCTGAAGCAGCTGAAGCGTCAGTTGGAGGAGGTGGAAGAGGAGGCCACTCGCTCCAATGCCTCCAGGAGGAAACTACAGAGAGACCTAGAGGAGGCCACGGAAGCCAGTGAGGGGCTGAGCAGGGAGGTGCAGACGCTGAAGACCAGACTCAGGTACCACCCTGGGGGGGCAGGGGCGGCAGGGAGGGGCTGAGCAGGGCGGGACCATCATTTGTGTATTGCCCTAAATCAGTGGTTCTCAAACTTTTCACACCAAGTACCCCCTCAGAAAATACTTGCCTCTCCAAGTACCACCACAAATGACCAACACCACACAGTAGCGTAGTAAGCCGAAGTATTCATCAATAACAAGGCAGAGGTTTCATTCCTAAAGAAGTATATTTAATGTAATATTTAAACAGTTTCAACAGTAAGACTGCGCTTAAATATAGGAAAAAATTTTTTTTTAAATGTTTCATTCATTGCGAACTGCAAAGCCTCACTGTGAGCTATATTCTGGAGTGGGATCTTTGTCCACAGAAGGTTTGGACTCTGGTGCACTTTAGTTTCTAAGGCTTGTTCTGCTGCCCTCTTACATCTGTCGTTTACGCACAGAGACATGTTCTCATGGTTTGGATCAAATGATCGTTTGTTGCTCTCTGTTCCTTTTGCACAGAACTGGGAAAAAAAACTGCTCCTTCTACATGGAACGTGTTGCAAAAAGACTAGAAATGATCTGATCTTATTTCCTTGAATGCTTTTAGATCCAGATTGAGACATCTTCAGTGAAATGTAACTGTTTTTATAATCCGTAATTTTATGAAATTGTGTGTTACTGTTGTATAATCTGTATGTGACTATTTTATCATCTGTATGTGACTGTTTTATCATCTGTAATTTTATGTAATTTTTGTACACGAAAAAGAGGTTCTCATTGACTGCCAGCCATTTTTTGATGACTTCACTGATTTTTAAGACTCACAGAATATTGTGTGCTATGAAAAATATGAAACCAGAGTCTGAAAGACAGGACTGTCTACTTTCAGCAGCAAAAAGAAGTTTGTTCTTAGTTTGTTTCGTTCTCCTGTGATCTCCAGTCGAACAGAGGAGAGTGTACCTAGCACCAGTAAGCACCAGTCTTAGACAAAAAAATTAGAAAATTAGGTTTTTGTGAAAACAGACGAACTGCAGAAAAGTGATTGTAAAACTATTTAGTTTAACTTTAGCATCTCCTCAAACATGTCCAGGATCACACATGTTAGAAAACAGCAACACGTTTTGAGAAAGTGTTTTTAATGTAAAATAATAAGTTTTATGGCACACACACCCACATCCACAAAGTGTTGCTCAAAAATTTCAAAATGTACTCATCCAAAAAATGTCAAAATGTACATATTGAAAGTAGAGCCCATGACAAACTATGCCAGATAGAATGGCCAGTATTCATCCATTAGGTGGCACTATATTTATGTCAATAAGAGTAAATCAAAGAATAACAAAATTACAATGATAAACACTATACATGACAATAAATCAAAGTGAATACTTATACTTATAGTATAAGTGCAACAGAATACTGCTGTGTGTCTTTGTGTGTTTGGGCGTGCATGTATGTGCGTTTATGCACGCGTTTGTGTGTTTTTGTGTGGTTACATCTACAGAGCGTCTGTTTAGTCCGGCGTGCGCTGTGACCATATCTGGACTTTGCTGCTGGCTCCTGGTGTGGACTCAGTGATAATTTTAGCAATAGTCCACTTTTCTGTGGCTTTTTTGAGGTGCTCCACTGGTCTGCTGTCCTGACCCTCCACATGGTCTGCTGCTAGGACCCTCCACATGGTCTGCTGCTAGGACCCTCCACATGGTCTCTGTCAGCTCTGGAGACACATTTACTGCTCAAACTGCCTCCAAATGTAGCCTGACCCTGACTATATTACTCCATGTCTGCTTCACCTCTGTCTCTCCTGCTCAGAGTGCTCAGAGTGATCTTTGACCAAACCAGGGAGTTCTGCTGCCACCTGCTGGCTTAATAAAATACTGTCTACAGCCAAACCCCAGACTGTATGATACAGGGGACACAGACTGACAGGAAAAGATTGAAAAACAATGTTGTCCTCAAATGACATCCATGGCTGTCAATGAGTTAATCTCAATGGGACTTTCCTGGTAAAATTGTGAAATTTTTTTTTTTTTTTTTTTTTTTAGATTTTTTTTTTTTTTCACAGATTCTTTGGCGTACCCCTAGAGGGCGCCCGCGTACCACTGGGGTACGCGTACCCCAGTTTGAGAAACCCTGCCCTAAATCACAGCAGCAGTTGATTCTCCTGCAACAGATTAGAGAATCAAACAGGATTGATACAATAGTAACAAACAACCTCGTCACTAATGTTCTTAAACTCTCCTGTTATAAAATATAAACATGTCACACGTTCTGTGGTGTCGTTGTTCCCACAGCTGCCAGTAGGTGGTGCACTAACCTTACGTCCTGATGAAGTGTAATAATAAAGCACTAAAGTATGTTTCTAATCATCAAAGTCCAAAGCTGCAGTAACACAGCAACACGGATCTTCTGCAGAAATAAAAGTGATTCTAGTTTTTGTTGCAGTACCACGTATGTAGCATCATGTAATGTAATGGTCTGATGCTAATGCTAATGCTAATGCTAATAGCGTGCTCCCTGTGTGCAGACGTGGAGGGCCCATCTCCTTCTCCAGTCGCTCTGGGCGTCGGCCTCTGCAGGTGGAAGGATCCTCTCTGGAGCTGCTCTCTGACGAAGAGCTGGAGAACAGGACCACGGACAGCAACGCCAACGACACCCCCGCCCCCCACACCGCCCCAGAGTGACCCCCCCTAGGACCGCAGGGGGACCCCACCCCGCCCGCGCATGGCCTTGTTCAAACGGCAACAACATTTCAGATTAGTTTTGATAAACCACTGCTTTACAGAGACTCATGATCAAAGGTTTGGACGTTACAGTGTATTTCATGTTCCTTTCATGTTTAAAGCTCGGGTCCCTCAATTTCCCTTCAATAATACACCTCCAAACAAACCACAACAATGTGTCTGCATCTGATACATGTATGTGCACTCTACATGTGTGTGTACTCTACATGTATGTGCACTCTACATGTGTGTGTACTCTACATGTGTGTGCACTCTACATGTGTGTGTACTCTACATGTGTGTGCACTCTACATGTGTGTGCACTCTACATGTATGTGCACTATACATGTGTGTGTACTCTACATGTGTGTGCACTATACATGTGTGTGCACTCTACATGTGTGTGCACTCTACATGTGTGTGCACTCTACATGTATGTGCACTATACATGTGTGTGCACTATACATGTGTGTGTACTCTACATGTGTGTGCACTCTACATGTATGTGCACTATACATGTGTGTGTACTCTACATGTGTGTGCACTATACATGTGTGTGTACTCTACATGTGTGTGCACTCTACATGTATGTGCACTATACATGTGTGTGCACTCTACATGTGTGTGCACTCTACATGTGTGTGCACTATACATGTATGTGCACTATACATGTGTGTGTACTCTACATGTGTGTGCACTATACATGTGTGTGTACTCTACATGTGTGTGCACTCTACATGTGTGTACACTCTACATGTATGTGAACTCTACATGTATGTATACTCTACATGTGTGTGCACTCTACATGTGTGTGTACTCTACATGTGTGTGCACTCTACATGTATGTATACTCTACATGTGTGTGCACTCTACATGTGTGTGTACTCTACATGTGTGTGTACTCTACATGTATGTGCACTCTACATGTGTGTACACTCTACATGTGTGTGTGTGTACACTCTACATGTGTGTGCACTCTACATGTGTGTACACTCTACATGTATGTGCACTCTACATGTATGTGCACTCTACATGTGTGTACACTCTACATGTGTGTGCACTCTACATGTATGTATACTCTACATGTGTGTGCACTCTACATGTGTGTGTACTCTACATGTATGTGCACTCTACATGTGTGTGCACTCTACATGTATGTGCACTCTACATGTATGTGTACTCTACATGTGTGTACACTCTACATGTGTGTGCACTCTACATGTGTGTGCACTCTACATGTATGCGCACTCTACATGTGTGCACTCTACATGTATGTGCACTCTACATGTATGTGCACTCTACATGTGTGTGCACTCTACATGTGTGTGTACTCTACATGTGTGTACACTCTGCATGTGTGTGCACTCTATATGTATGTGCACTCTACATGTGTGTGCACTCTACATGTGTGTGCACTCTACATGTGTGTACACTCTACATGTGTGTACACTCTACATGTATGTGCACTCTACATGTGTGTGCACTCTACATGTGTGTGTACTCTACATGTATGTGCACTCTACATGTATGTGCACTCTACATGCGTGTGTACTCTACATGTATGTGCACTCTACATGTGTGTGCACTCTACATGTGTGTGCACTATACATGTATGTATACTCTACATGTGTATACACTCTACATGTATGTATACTCTACATGTGTATACACTCTACATGTATGTATACTCTACATGTGTATACACTCTACATGTATGTATACTCTACATGTGTATACACTCTACATGTATGTGCACTATACATGTGTGTGCACTCTACATGTGTGTGCACTCTACATGTGTGTGTACTATACATGTATGTGCACTCTACATGTATGTGCACTCTACATGTGTGTGCACTCTACATGTGTGTGCACTATACATGTATGTATACTCTACATGTGTATACACTCTACATGTATGTATACTCTACATGTGTATACACTCTACATGTATGTATACTCTACATGTGTATACACTCTACATGTATGTATACTCTACATGTGTATACACTCTACATGTATGTGCACTATACATGTGTGTGCACTCTACATGTGTTTGCACTCTACATGTGTGTGTACTATACATGTATGTGCACTCTACATGTATGTGCACTCTACATGTGTGTGCACTCTACATGTGTGTGTACTATACATGTGTGTGTACTCTACATGTGTGTGCACTCTACATGTGTGTGCACTCTACATGTGTGTGTACTATACATGTATGTGCATTCTACATGTGTGTACACTCTACATGTGTGTGCACTCTACATGTGTGTGCACTCTACATGTGTGTGCACTCTACATGTGTGTGCACTCTACATGTGTGTGCACTCTACATGTGTGTGCACTCTACATGTATGTGCACTCTACATGTATGTATACTCTACATGTGTGTGCACTCTACATGTGTGTGCACTCTACATGTGTGTGCACTCTACATGTATGTATACTCTACATGTATGTGCACTCTACATGTGTGTGTACTATACATGTGTGTGCACTCTACATGTATGTGTACTCTACATGTGTGTGCACTCTACATGTATGTATACTCTACATGTGTATACACTCTACATGTGTGTGTACTCTATATGTGTGTGCACTCTACATGTATGTGCACTCTACATGTGTGTGTACTATACATGTGTGTGCACTCTACATGTGTGTGTACTATACATGTGTGTGTACTCTGCATGTGTGTACACTCTACATGTGTGTGCACTCTACATGTGTGTGCACTATACATGTGTGTACACTCTACATGTGTGTGTACTATACATGTGTGTGTACTCTACATGTATGTGCACTCTACATGTGTGTGCACTCTACATGTGTGTGCACTATACATGTGTGTACACTCTACATGTGTGTGCACTCTACATGTGTGTGCACTCTACATGTGTGTGCACTCTACATTTGTGTGTACTCTACATGTGTGTGCACTCTACATGTGTGTGCACTCTACGTGTGTGTGCACTCTACATGTTTGTGTACTCTACATGTGTGTGTACTCTACATGTATGTGCACTCTACATATATGCGCACTCTACATGTGTGTACACTCTACATGTGTGTGTACTCTACATGTGTGTGCACTCTATATGTGTGTGTACTCTACATGTGTGTGTACTCTACATGTGTGTGTACTCTACATGTGTGTGCACTCTACATGTCTGTGTACTCTACATGTCTGTGTACTCTACATGTGTGTGCACTCTACATGTGTGTGCACTCTACATGTGTGTGCACTCTACATGTGTGTGCACTCTACATGTGTGTGCACTCTACATGTGTGTGTACTCTACATGTGTGTGTACTCTACATGGGTGTTTTACTGATTTACATTTTGTGGTTTGAAAGTTAGGTCCCCCACCATAAGACCTCCCACTGATGTCTGCTGTCGTGGTGTCCTTGGGCAAGACACTTAACCCCACTTTGCCTGAAGCCCCCGCTGAAAGATCTCAGCTCCTGTGGACTCAGCACCTGCAGGAGGATCAGTGAGGGGCTGGTGCTCTGTGACTGGGTGCAGCTCTGACTGCTCCCCCCCCCCCCCCAACCCAGAAATGGATTAAGGGGAAGAAAATGGATGGATGGATGGAATGGTCTCTGACCATCCTGACGGTCCGGTCTGACGGTCCGGTCTGACGGTCCGGTCTGACGGTCCGGTCTGACGGTCCGGTCTGACGGTCCGGTCTGACGGTCCGGTCTGACGGTCCGGTCTGACGGTCCGGTCTGACGGTCCGGTCTGACGGTCCGGTCTGACGGTCCGGTCTGTCGGTCCGGTCTGAGGGTCCAGTCTGAGGGTCCAGTCCTTGTTGCTCTGGTTTCTTGTTGCTCTGGAGCTGGTGTTGTGCTCAGGTCTGTGTTGCTACGGGAGATGCACAACGACACAGACACCAGCTCTTTACAGAGACTCATGGTTTGGACGTTACAGCGTATTTCATGTTCCTTTTCATACAAGTTTATGAAGTAAAGTCTACACACCCATAAATCTACACAACCATAAATCTACACAACCATAAATTTACACACCCATAAATCTACACACCCATAAATCTACACACCCATAAATCTACACAACCATAAATCTACACAACCATAAATATACACACCCATAAATCTACACAACCATAAATCTACACAACCATAAATCTACACAACCATAAGTCTACACAACCATAAATCTACACAACCATAAGTCTACACAACCATAAGTCTACACACCCATAAATCTACACAACCATAAATCTACACAACCATAAATCTACACAACCATAAATCTACACAACCGTAAATCTACACAACCGTAAGTCTACACAACCGTAAGTCTACACACTCATAAGTCGATACACCCATTAATCTACACAACCATAAGTCTACACAACCATAAATCTACACACCCATAAGTCGATACACCCATCAATCTACACAACCATAAGTCTACACAACCATAAGTCTACACAACCATAAGTCTACACACCCATAAGTCGACACACCCATAAGTCGACACACCCATAAGTCGACACAACCATAAGTCTACACACCCATAAGTCTACACAACCATAAATCTACACAACCATATATCTACACAACCATAAGTCTACACAACCATAAGTCTACACAACCATAAGTCTACACACCCATAAGTCGATACACCCATCAATCTACACAACCATAAGTCTACACACCCATAAGTCGATACACCCATCAATCTACACAACCATAAGTCTACACACCCATAAGTCGACACACCCAAAGCAGGTGTTAGCATGGGATAGCAGGTGTTAGCATGGGATAGCAGGTGTTTAGCATGGGATAGCAGGTGTTAGCATGGGATAGCAGGTGTTAGCATGGGATAGCAGGTGTTAGCATGGGATAGCAGGTGTTAGCATGGGTTAGCAGGTGTTAGCATGGGATAGCAGGTGTTAGCATGGGATAGCAGGTGTTAGCATGGGATAGCAGGTGTTAGCATGGGTTAGCAGGTGTTAGCATGGGATAGCAGGTGTTAGCATGGGATAGCAGGTGTTAGCATGGGATAGCAGGTGTTAGCATGGGATAGCAGGTGTTAGCATGGGATAGCAGGTGTTAGCATGGGATAGCAGGTGTTAGCATGGGATAGCAGGTGTTAGCATGGGATAGCAGGTGTTAGCATGGGATAGCAGGTGTTAGCATGGGATAGCAGGTGTTAGCATGGGTTAGCAGGTGTTAGCATGGGATAGCAGGTGTTAGCATGGGATAGCAGGTGTTAGCATGGGATAGCAGGTGTTAGCATGGGATAGCAGGTGTTAGCATGGGTTAGCAGGTGGTTGTAGAGATAAACTTTCTACACATGTTACAGTTGGAGTCAGATCCTGCTCCAGAGAAAACCTTTGTTCTTTTTTAGCCACAGTTTAAAGAATGTTCTGTCCTTTCATGTTCATGTCTGCTGCAGACTCTACTCCTGTAGTCTCCAGTTTATCACATGTTTTTATAAAGATGTGTGTGTGCACTCTACATGTGTGTGCACTCTACATGTGTGTGCACTCTACGTGTGTGTGCACTTTACATGTTTGTGTACTCTACATGTGTGTGTACTCTACATGTATGTGCACTCTACATGTATGTGCACTCTACATGTGTGTACACTCTACATGTGTGTGTACTCTACATGTGTGTGCACTCTATATGTGTGTGTACTCTACATGTGTGTGTACTCTACATGTGTGTGTACTCTACATGTGTGTGCACTCTACATGTCTGTGTACTCTACATGTCTGTGTACTCTACATGTGTGTGCACTCTACATGTGTGTGCACTCTACATGTGTGTGCACTCTACATGTGTGTGCACTCTACATGTGTGTGCACTCTACATGTGTGTGTACTCTACATGTGTGTGTACTCTACATGGGTGTTTTACTGATTTACATTTTGTGGTTTGAAAGTTAGGTCCCCCACCATAAGACCTCCCACTGATGTCTGCTGTCGTGGTGTCCTTGGGCAAGACACTTAACCCCACTTTGCCTGAAGCCCCCGCTGAAAGATCTCAGCTCCTGTGGACTCAGCACCTGCAGGAGGATCAGTGAGGGGCTGGTGCTCTGTGACTGGGTGCAGCTCTGACTGCTCCCCCCCCCCCCCCAACCCAGAAATGGATTAAGGGGAAGAAAATGGATGGATGGATGGAATGGTCTCTGACCATCCTGACGGTCCGGTCTGACGGTCCGGTCTGACGGTCCGGTCTGACGGTCCGGTCTGACGGTCCGGTCTGACGGTCCGGTCTGACGGTCCGGTCTGACGGTCCGGTCTGACGGTCCGGTCTGACGGTCCGGTCTGACGGTCCGGTCTGTCGGTCCGGTCTGAGGGTCCAGTCTGAGGGTCCAGTCCTTGTTGCTCTGGTTTCTTGTTGCTCTGGAGCTGGTGTTGTGCTCAGGTCTGTGTTGCTACGGGAGATGCACAACGACACAGACACCAGCTCTTTACAGAGACTCATGGTTTGGACGTTACAGCGTATTTCATGTTCCTTTTCATACAAGTTTATGAAGTAAAGTCTACACACCCATAAATCTACACAACCATAAATCTACACAACCATAAATTTACACACCCATAAATCTACACACCCATAAATCTACACACCCATAAATCTACACAACCATAAATCTACACAACCATAAATATACACACCCATAAATCTACACAACCATAAATCTACACAACCATAAATCTACACAACCATAAGTCTACACAACCATAAATCTACACAACCATAAGTCTACACAACCATAAGTCTACACACCCATAAATCTACACAACCATAAATCTACACAACCATAAATCTACACAACCATAAATCTACACAACCGTAAATCTACACAACCGTAAGTCTACACAACCGTAAGTCTACACACTCATAAGTCGATACACCCATTAATCTACACAACCATAAGTCTACACAACCATAAATCTACACACCCATAAGTCGATACACCCATCAATCTACACAACCATAAGTCTACACAACCATAAGTCTACACAACCATAAGTCTACACACCCATAAGTCGACACACCCATAAGTCGACACACCCATAAGTCGACACAACCATAAGTCTACACACCCATAAGTCTACACAACCATAAATCTACACAACCATATATCTACACAACCATAAGTCTACACAACCATAAGTCTACACAACCATAAGTCTACACACCCATAAGTCGATACACCCATCAATCTACACAACCATAAGTCTACACACCCATAAGTCGATACACCCATCAATCTACACAACCATAAGTCTACACACCCATAAGTCGACACACCCAAAGCAGGTGTTAGCATGGGATAGCAGGTGTTAGCATGGGATAGCAGGTGTTAGCATGGGATAGCAGGTGTTAGCATGGGATAGCAGGTGTTAGCATGGGATAGCAGGTGTTAGCATGGGATAGCAGGTGTTAGCATGGGTTAGCAGGTGTTAGCATGGGATAGCAGGTGTTAGCATGGGATAGCAGGTGTTAGCATGGGATAGCAGGTGTTAGCATGGGTTAGCAGGTGTTAGCATGGGATAGCAGGTGTTAGCATGGGATAGCAGGTGTTAGCATGGGATAGCAGGTGTTAGCATGGGATAGCAGGTGTTAGCATGGGATAGCAGGTGTTAGCATGGGATAGCAGGTGTTAGCATGGGATAGCAGGTGTTAGCATGGGATAGCAGGTGTTAGCATGGGATAGCAGGTGTTTAGCATGGGATAGCAGGTGTTAGCATGGGTTAGCAGGTGTTAGCATGGGATAGCAGGTGTTAGCATGGGATAGCAGGTGTTAGCATGGGATAGCAGGTGTTAGCATGGGATAGCAGGTGTTAGCATGGGTTAGCAGGTGGTTGTAGAGATAAACTTTCTACACATGTTACAGTTGGAGTCAGATCCTGCTCCAGAGAAAACCTTTGTTCTTTTTTAGCCACAGTTTAAAGAATGTTCTGTCCTTTCATGTTCATGTCTGCTGCAGACTCTACTCCTGTAGTCTCCAGTTTATCACATGTTTTTATAAAGATGTGTGTTTTTTCTTTTGTGTGCAAAGTTTCTTATGAACGTTTTTATATTTTTGAGTGAAACAAACATGTATTTATAAAGTATAACGACCGACGGAAAGACTTGTCTTTGAACATATTAAAGTCTGGAGTCCAAACCTTTGCCCTGGTCTTTATTTGGGGCTGGTATTCATCAGTGGAAGTGGGAAATGTCAGTGTTACACTAGTTATAGAACAGTATGAGGAGCACACAGCACAAGAGAGGTGAACAATAACTTCATACTGAAATAACATCTCTAACTTTAGCAAAGCAAAGAAGAAACCTTCAACTTCATTTAAAAAATGCACTGCTTACTTTAATCTAAATATAAAATGTGGAGCAGATCTGGAACCTCCGGCTCTTCTTGAAGAATAAAATTATATATTAATATTTAAATAGCGCTGGGGAAAAACCAAAGTGCAACTTACAAAAAGACAAAAACAACAGTACTGCCACATTATCGCGGTGGGGGAGTTTGAGTACTCGGATGATCCTGGGAGCTATGTTGTCTGGGGCTTCATGCCCCTGGTAGGGTCTCCCATGGCAGACAGGTCCAAAGTGCAGTCCAAAAACCACCATGGATCGCACTGAAAGAAATCAAGTGACGTCGGCAGGCATGGCGCAGCCGGGGCCCCACCCTGGAGCCAGGCCTGGGGTTGGGGCTCGAAAGCAAGCGTTTGGTGGCCGGGCCTTAGCCCACGGGGTTAAGCCCAAAAAGGATGACGTGGGCCAGCCCTCCTGTGGGCCCACCACCCACAGAGGGATCCATGGGGCATTTGTGCAAAGAGGACTGAGCAGCGGTCGAAGGCGGAGACCTCGGCGGCCCAGTCCGAACACACAACATCTGGCTCTTGGGACGTGGAACGTCACCTCACTGGGGGGGAAGGAGCCCGAGCTAGTGGGGGAGGTTGAGAGATACCGACTAGAGATAGTCGGCCTCACCTCCACACACAGCTTGGGTTCTGAACCCAACTCCTTGAGAGGGGTTGGACGCTCCACTTTTCTGGTGTTTCTTGCGGGGAGTGGCGGCGAGCGGGGGTGGCCATTCTCATTGCCCCCTATTTCAGTTCCCCGTGTTGGTGAATGAGAGCGTCGCGTCCCTCCGCCTCCGGGTGGGGGACAAGTCTCTCACTGTTGTTGTGCCTACGGGCCTAACGACAGTGCAGAGTACTCAGCCTTCTTGGAGTCCTTGGGAGGGCTCTTGGACAGTGCACCAACCAGGGACTCATGGGGGACTTCAATGCCCCTGTGGGAAATGCCAGTGATACTTGGAGAGGGGTGAAGGGGAAGAACGGCCCCCCTGATCTGAACCCGAGCGATGTTCAGTTGTTGGACTTCTGTGCTAGCCACAGTTTGTCCATCACGAACACCATGTTCGAGCACAAGAGTGTCCACCAGGGGGCGCCAGGACCTGAGGCCAGAGGTCAATGATCGATTTTGTTGTCGTATCATCTGACCTTCGGCCGCGTGTCTCGGACACTCGGGTGAAGAGAGGGGCGGAGTTGTCAAACGATCACCACCTGGTCATGAGTTGGATCCGCTGGCAGGGGAGGAAGCCGGTCAGACCTGGCAGACCCAAGCGTCTCACTGAGCCCCCTGTCAGGCAGACTTTCAACTCACACCTCCGGGAGAGCTTCTCCCAGGTCCCGGGGGAGGAGGGGGACATTGAGTCTGAGTGGACCATGTTCTCCACCTCTATCCCCGACGCAGCAGCTTGTAGCTTTGGTCTCAAGGTCTCTGGTGCTGGTCCCAGTAGTAAGGGGACCTTACTCTCACTACTGTCTCGTTTTTTTTTTTTTTTTTTTTTTTTTTTTTTTAAATTTATTAAATCAACATAAAAACACAAGATACACTTACAATTAGTGCTCCAACCCAAAACCCTCCCACCCTCACCCCCATTCACACTCATTCACACTCATTCACACAAACGGGTTGTTTCCTTACCATATTAACATTCTGGTTCCTACAATATATATCAATGCAGTCTGCACGGGATGAAGTCCGTGAGGCACTGCCCTAAACCAGTGCCTTTCGGAAACCACATCCACCGCAATAGGGTTGTGTGTGCTGCTGGTCCACTGTTAGTAGTAACATTTACCAGTTACATTTTGCTTAAATTCAAAAATTATTGTATTAAAAAATAAAATAGACAAAAAATACAAAATAAATAAAATGTATAATAATTAAAAAAATTTTTTATAATAAGTTAATTAACCAAAACAAAAAAACACTATCTTCACCAGACCAGGCTTCAGCGAGATTAGATGGTTTAAAGGGCTCTTAAAACCGGGTCCAGTCCAGATTATGTCGAGATCGGGCTCAGCAACACACACCTTCATTTGCATACACCCAGATTAAGGAAACACAAACACAGTTTAGCATATAATCTATAATCAAAAATACATTTTCAAAAAAGGCCTTTGAGAACTTCCCATTTACGTTTATGTTTTTTGGCATCATTATCGGTTTCAACCATATAACTTTCTAATGTAAAGAAATGCTGAATAAATGTTTTAAAGAAAGTATTTACTAAGTGAATATCTATTTTTTGCCTTAAAAATAAATCTTTTACCGAGTACAATAATTAAATAACTAAATTGTGACTGTCAATAAAATCTCCTAATATAACAGAAATCACATCAAGCTTCATAAACAAACCGATCCTTAAACACATTTTTTCAACTTCTACCCAAAACAAAGACACAATATGACAGTACCAAAACAAATGCAGTGTGGATTCAGACTCCTGACAACAAAAACGGCAATCATCTGACTCAGTCATATTCCATAATTTTAACATTTTTCCGGTGGGTAAGAAATTATATAAGATTTTGATTTGAAAATAACGATTCTGCACATTGATAGTAGTTTTGTAGATTAATTTAAATATTGTATCCCACGGCAACGGGCAGTCAAAATAGTAAGTAATTAAGTAAGTAATCTTTATTTATATACCGCCTTTTCACTGCAGATCTGAGTCTCAAAGCGGTTTACAATTGTTAATTTTTTTTGGGCATTTGTCTCTCACTCCACACAGAGATGGGAGCGGGGTCGCCAGTATAGGAGGCGCATGACAGAACTATTGGACATATTTTTAGTGGTAGGGGAAACCGGAGTACCCGGAGGAAACCTACGCAGACACAGGGAGAACATGCAAACTCCACTCAGAAAGGCCCTGGTCCAACCGGGATTCAAACCCAGGACCTTCTTGCTGAGAGGCGAGAGTGCTATCCACTCAGCCACTGTGCCGCCCAGGATTCAATCCAATAGTCTTCCCATTTTCCATATGTGTTATATGGGGCAACCTTCAGAGATTTCTTTATTAAATAAAAATTATATATATATATATATATTTTTTTTATTCCTTTTTGCCAACTTGAGTTTCTTATTGGAGGTTTACAAACTAATAGTTTAGTAGTTCCATAGTTAATTATTTGTTTCCATTTTTTTCCAATAACTCCAGTTAGTTGATTAAAGGAAAAGCTTGAACAAACATAATTTACATAATTCTAAATTCATCATACTCCATGATGTTACCATTCTCATTGATAATGTCATTGACAAAAATAATTCCTCTTTCAAACACGTTTTTCCAAAAGAAAGGCTTTCCATCTATTACAATATTAGAATTCATCCATATTATCTGCTGCAAAATGTCATCTCTTTTTTCTGGTACACAAAATTGAAAACACCACCATGACTGGATTGTTTCCTTTATGAACCCTGAGGTGTTTCCCAGCAGACTCTCTACATAAGGAAAATGGGAGGGCATCACTTGTAAAAACGGATACAATTTCTTATGATACAGTACATGTTTTTTGTCCAACAGGACACTTGTGTACCACTCAGTGTTTAGATACATCTTTGGAACAATTGATGCTTTTAAAGACAGACACATAGCTTCAAGGTTAAGAAGTTTCAAACCCCCATATTCATATTCATTGTACAAAACCTTTCTTTTAATCTTTTCTGGCTTGCCATCCCAGATAAAATCCATGACCCTATGCTCATAAACCTTAAAAAAGTTTTGTGATGGAGCTGGTAATGACAAAATTAAATAAATAAATTGAGGAATAATTAAAGAGTTGACAATAGATATTTTACCATTCATGGTTAAAGATTTCCCTTTCCATAATTGCAGAATTTTATCCAGCTTTTTTAGTCGATTTTCATAATTTACTGAGCCTAGGTTTTCCAGATCATCCGGGATAACAACCAAGTATGTTAACTGGTCCATTTGTCCACACAACAGGTACTTTGCATTCCATTCTGTAGGATGTTCCCTTTAAACTTCCGATCCTTAATATTTTACATTTATCATAGTTAAGCTTAAGCCCAGATTGCTGTGAAAAGATGTCCAACAGATTTAAAAGATTTTGTAAACAATGAGGATTGGCGGTGATGAAGAAGCTTGTATCGTCTGCATACATTGATATTTTACTTTCAATATTATTATTAACGAGCCCTTCAATATTGTTATTCAACCTGACTTTAATCGCCAATATCTCCATAGCAATAATGAATAAGTATGGAGACAAAGGGCACCCTTGTTTTAAACCTCTTAATAGAGGTATTGTCCCAGAGATGTATCCATTATTGATAATACTACAGTTTGTTTTAATATATAGAGTCTTGATCCAGTGTAATAAGGAGTTACCAAAATTGAAAAAAACTAAGCTTTTACAAATAAAATCTAGACTAATTTTGTCAAATGCCTTCTCCAAGTCGGCTACAAAAATTAATCCTCTTTTATTTTCTGTATTACAATTTTCTATGATTTCTAATAACTGTCTAATATTGTTTCCTATATTTCTTCCTTGTAAGAAACCTGATTGGTCTTGATGAATAATATCTGACAAAACAGACTTAAGTCGTGCAGCCAAACATTTAGCCAGGATCTTAGCATCGTAACACTGAAGTGTTAGTGGTCTCCAATTTTTTAGATAAACTGGGTCTTTATATTGGCCATTTACTTCTTGTTTCAATAACAAAGAAATAAGACCTTCTGTTTGAGAGTTAGACAAAGAACCCGTTGTATAGGAGTAATTAAAACTGGAAAGCAATGGTTTTTTAACCTCTTCATAGAATACTTGATAAATCTCAATATGTATTCCATCTAATCCTGGTGTTTTCCCTGGATGAAAGGACTTAATAGCTTCCATGAGCTCTTCTTCTTTAATGAGGCCTTCACACGAGCGGCTTTCTTCTGAATTCAGTTTTCTTTCATACTTTTCTGGAAAAAATCGTGTTGTTTCTGGAGGGATTACTAGATTAGAAAAAATATTTTTAAAATAATTTTCCATTTCTTTCAACAAAGTGGTATGCGTAGCCAATACCTTTCCATTTGTTTGAATAAGCTTGGAAATGTTCTTTTTGGATGGAAATGATTTTTTGTTTGGATATTTAGAAAGAATTTTGAACACTTCTCACCTTTTTTTCATCCAGATTGCTCTGTTGCAATCGTAAGTTCTCAATGATTGTTTTTCAACTAAATCAGATAACTCCTCTTGTTTGCTGTATAGGAATTCAGTTGCTCATTAGTCGGATTAGCATTACTATCAATAATCTGTTGTAAATCCTCAATTTCTTTCTTTAATTCCTGTTCTGCTATTTTAAATTGTTTTTTTTTCCATGAAGAGCACGCAATGGCATATCCCCTAAAACAACACTTGAAGGCTTCCCAAACTATTTGGGGATTTAAAGATCCTACATTATGTTTAAAAAAGTCAGTAATAAATTGCTTTGTTTTTTCAATAAATTCATCATCCTGTAGAAGCGTTTGATTAAACTTCCAATATCCGGGTCTTGTGTATTATCTTCAATTGCAATATTTAGTTCTATACAATTATGATCTGAACGCAGTTTATCATCAATTGATATTGCAGTCACTTTGTTTAGCAATGAAAATGATATCAAAAAATAGTCAATACAACTTGCTTGGTTTTGTCTTCTCCAGGTATACCGTACTAACCTAGGATTTTTAAATCTCCAGATATCAATTAAATCAAATGCATCCATAACATTTTGAATCTTTTGTAAAGATTGAGGATGATAATCTATTGAAGAATTCCCTTTTCGATCCAGTACTTTATCCAAGGCAACATTAAAGTCCCCCACAGTAATAATTTCCCCTTGTTGTTCCTGCAACATATCCCTTATTTCTTCAAAAAAAGAAGGTTCATCAACATTTGGCCCATACAGATTCAAAACACACATCTTTTGACCCTGAATAATCATATTTAATATTAACCAGCGTCCTTGTGAGTCTTTTTCCATAGATTTAAATTGAAAATTAAATTGTTTTTTTTATCAAAATCATAACACCTTTTGAGTTTCTGTGACCATGCGAAAAGAAAATCGGACCATCCCATTCTTTTCTCCATTTTTCTTCATCTAAATTTTTTGAATGCGTTTCTTGAAGACAAAAAATATCTTGTTTTTTTTCTTTCAGCCACATAAATATAAGTTTTCTTTTTCTGTTGTCTGCAAGACCATTACAATTATAACTGATTATTCCAACTTCATTATCGTTCTTATAAACCATGACACCTGAGTAGATTTATTATTCATTTTATTGGTTCTCTTACTAATAAACCCACAGACACACCATTCACACACATGCAAACCCACAGCACACAAGACAGACAAACACATACCCCCCAAAATAAAACCTCCGCTGATTGTTCCCCAGACTACTGTCTCCTTTACACTCAAAGAAATGACTTGTAGAATTTACTTAATAAAATCATTGTAAGTATTTGCACTCAAAATGTCTAAGTACATTTTAATGCTGTAATATCAAGTATAATTTACTTGCCCGTATCAAGTACAATGTACTTACTACTAACCTTAAACTTTGTGAGGATATTATGTAAATGTTATGTAATTATTTTCATACAGGAATATCAGATATTAAAATATTAGGTAAATCTTACTTGTTTATATCATTTTCTGTTATGAAGTGAATAAGTAGATATTACTTAATTTTTCTGTTTAAATTATTATTATCTACATGCTTTTTGGGTTGTTCCACTTTAATTGTATCATTAGGATGTCTTAATATTTATTATTCAAATAGAGCTCAGCAACAAGTGGTACAGTGTACAGACTCTGTGGCACACATACGATACACATTTGATCTAGTGACAAACCCAGGAAGTAAACCCATACTTTGACTTGGCCATGTCGATCATGGTTGGTAAAAATATATTTACATTTTTTCATTTGGTCAAATTTGTTTGTTCAAAATGTTGCTCACGTATTTTTCTTTAAGACTTGCTTTGTATTCACCCTCAAAATTAATGCTCAAATGTAGATTTTTTCAGAAGTTTATGTTTTTCTCTGCATTGCATTCTGGGTAGCGTCACTACTTCACCCAATAGTTAAAAGTTACTTGATTTTTTCAGGTTTTGGTGCTATGACAATAAATCATGTAAATGGTACGAGCAAATCTCTTGTAAGATGTACTCTTTCCACTCAATTAATTAATTACCTGAATATACTGTGTAAATATTTATGTTTTTAACTAGATTTTGCTGAAAGTTGATAGGTAGAAACTACTACTTTTGAGTTAGTATATATTACTACACCCAAAAATCATTTTTTTGAGTGTACCTTCAGACTGTCTCACTACTGTCTCCTTTACCTTCAGACTCTCTCACTACTGTCTCCTTTACCTTCCTACTCTCTCACTACTGTCTCCTTTACCTTCAGCAGAGATCTGTCTGATGCAGATCTGTGAAATTTAAGTAGAAACATTGTGAAACTTAAATGGGTGTGGCAGAGTGCGGCAGCTGTGGCAGAGAGTGGCAGAGTGGCAGAGAGCGGCAGATGTGGCAGAGTGGCAGCTGTGGCAGAGTGCGGCAGATGTGGCAGAGTGGCAGCTGTGGCAGAGTGCGGCAGATGTGGCAGAGTAGCAGCTGTGGCAGAGTGGCAGCTGTGGCAGAGTAGCAGCTGTGGCAGAGTGCTGCAGATGTGGCAGAGTAGCAGCTGTGGCAGAGTGGCAGCTGTGGCAGAGTAGCAGCTGTGGCAGAGTGCTGCAGATGTGGCAGAGTGCGGCAGATGTGGCAGAGTAGCAGCTGTGGCAGAGTGGCAGCTGTGGCAGAGTAGCAGCTGTGGCAGAGTGCTGCAGATGTGGCAGAGTGCGGCAGATGTGGCAGAGTGGCAGCTGTGGCAGAGTGCGGCAGATGTGGCAGAGTAGCAGCTGTGGCAGAGTGGCAGCTGTGGCAGAGTAGCAGCTGTGGCAGAGTGCTGCAGATGTGGCAGAGTAGCAGCTGTGGCAGAGTGGCAGCTGTGGCAGAGTAGCAGCTGTGGCAGAGTGCTGCAGATGTGGCAGAGTGCGGCAGATGTGGCAGAGTAGCAGCTGTGGCAGAGTGGCAGCTGTGGCAGAGTAGCAGCTGTGGCAGAGTGCTGCAGATGTGGCAGAGTGCGGCAGATGTGGCAGAGTAGCAGCTGTGGCAGAGTGGCAGCTGTGGCAGAGTAGCAGCTGTGGCAGAGTGCTGCAGATGTGGCAGAGTAGCAGCTGTGGCAGAGTAGCAGCTGTGGCAGAGTGGCAGCTGTGGCAGAGTAGCAGCTGTGGCAGAGTGCTGCAGATGTGGCAGAGTGCGGCAGATGTGGCAGAGTAGCAGCTGTGGCAGAGTGGCAGCTGTGGCCGTAGAGGTCTGACCTGGTTGGAACCAGTGTCTGGAGTTGAACAAGAGTCTTTGTCATGAGTGTTGGGAACACGGATAATCTGCGTCACGTGACTCATAGTAATAATCACTGGATAATGATCCAGTCTGTGCGCGTGCGTGCATGTGTGTGTGTGTGCAGCGCGCGCAGGAGTCTGAAGCAGGAGAGAAGCACGAGCGCAGGTGAGTGAGGAGCGTGGCACATACTCTTTTCCAGGTGAAATTGTGTGAGCTTGTGTGTAAGTTTGTGTGTCTGTGTGTGTGTGAGTTTGTGAATTACTTTGCGTGTGAGTTTGCGTGTGTGTGTGTTTGTGTGTGTGTGTGAGTTTGCGTGTGTGTTTTTGTGTGTCACTAAAGGGCACTGGGGCCGTAGTAAACGAGGGTAAATGTAACTGAACAATGTGCGTCTGTGCGCGTGCACGTGTGATTACAGGGTGCGTGGTCCTGGGAAAGTGCTCTGCTTTTGTTTGACCCCAGAGCCGCATCATAATGACTCTAATATATCTCTAACATTCACTCTGAAACATTCACCCTGAAATATTCACATGCAAATGACCATGAATCACCGCGCGCCTTAAATCTGTCTCCATCAGGACCGTCTCTGTCTCTGGACCCAGCGGCTCGTGATGTCTGTGGTGAGCGCGCAGCCTTTCATCATGCAGCCGACTGCGTCCCCCTCTGCCTCCCCATCTATGTCCCCCTCTCTGTCTCCCTCTGTTTCCCCCTCTGTGTCCCCCTCTGTGTCCCCCTTCACGAGGCGACACACGCTTCCCGCCAGCGAGGTGCGGCCGCTCAACACGCAGGACGCCATCAGTGTCTTCGAGATCGAGAGGGAAGGTGAGTGTGTGACATCACCTGTGTGTGTGAGGACTGAATTGTTACTGAGCTGAATGAAAACTTTTCACCAAAGGATTTGGCTTAAGTATCTGCGCTGTGCGTAAAGACATTTGGCGCACTCCTGGCGTGCGTAATATTGTGCGTAAAGACATTTGGCGCACTCCTGGCGTGCGTAATATTGTGTGTAAAGACATTTGGCACACTCCTGGCGTGCGTAATGTTGTACGTAAAGACATTTACTTTGTTGTACTTAATTCTTCTTCCTCTGATCATGTCTCTGACACTGGAGCTGAGGCTCAATGTTTGGCTCTCTGTGACGCGCGGCTCTCTGTGTTTGTGACGCGCGGCTTTCTGTGTCCGTGACGCGTGGCTCTCTGTGTCCGCAGCTTTCATCTCCGTGTCCGGGGAGTGTCCTCTGCACTTGGATGAAGTGCGTCACTTCCTGACGCTGTGCCCGGAGCTCTCTTTGGGCTGGATCGAGGAGGGACGTCTGGTCGCCTTCATCATCGGCTCTTTGTGGGACCAGGAGCGGCTCGCCGCGGTACCAGCTCTGATCCAATCTAACTATGTGAACACAGCAGGAGCTTCTCAGAGGACTTTACAAAACTGTGGATTCTCCAAAGCAGATTAGAAAATCAGTACAAATACAGAAGAAAAACACATGAGGAGCAAATATTAAAGCTCAGTGTTTATAACTGTGCTATACAAATAAACTGGACTGGCACATTATCCACCCAGGGTTAATGCCACCAGCATTAGGACTTGGGTCTCCTCCTGGGTCTCCTCTTGGGTCTCCTCCTGGTCTCCTCTTGGGTTTCCTCTTGGGTCTCCTCCTGGGTCTCCTCCTGGGTCTCCTCTTGGGTCTACTCCTGGTCTCCTCTTGGGTTTCCGATTGGGTCTCCTCCTGGGTCTCCTCCTGGGTCTCCTCCTGGTCTCCTCTCGGGTTTCCTCTTGGGTCTCCTCCTGGGTCTCCTCCTGGGTCTCCTCTTGGGTCTCCTCCTGGTCTCCTCTTGGGTTTCCTCTTGGGTCTCCTTCTGGGTTTCCTCTTGGGTCTCCTCCTGGTCTCCTCTTGGGTCTCCTCCTGGGTCTCCTCCTGGGTCTCCTCTTGGGTCTCCTCCTGGTCTCCTCTTGGGTCTCCTCCTGGTCTCCTCTTGGGTCTACTCCTGGTCTCCTCTTGGGTCTCCTCTTGGGTTTCCTCCTGGGTCTCCTCTTGGGTCTCCTCCTGGTCTCCTCTTGGGTCTCCTCCTGGTCTCCTCTTGGGGTCTCCTCTTGGGTGTCCTACTGGGTCTCCTACTGGTCTCCCCCTGTGTCTCCTGTTGGGTCTCCTCCTGGTTTCCTCCTGGGTCTCCTCTTGGGTCTCCTCCTGGGTCTCCTCTTGGGTCTCCTCCTGTTCTCCTCTTGGGTCTCCTCTTGGGTCTCCTCCTGGTCTCCTCTTGGGTCTCCTACTGGGTCATACTGGTCTCCCCCTGTGTCTCCTCTTGGGTCTCCTCCTGGTTTCCTCCTGGGTCTCCTCTTGGGTCTCCTCCTGTTCTCCTCTTGGGTCTCCTCTTGGGTCTCCTCCTGGTTTCCTCCTGGGTCTCCTCTTGGGTCTCCTCCTGGGTCTCCTCCTGGTCTCCTCTTGGGTCTCCTCTTGGGTCTCCTCCTGGTCTCCTCTTGGGTCTCCTCTTGGGTCTCTGAGTCTGTTATCTCCTCCTGGTTTCCTCCTGGGTCTCCTCTTGGGTCTCCTCCTGGGTCTCCTCCTGGGTCTCCTCCTGGTCTCCTCTTGGGTCTCCTCTTGGGTCTCTGAGTCTGTTAGAGTCTTTTACTGTGATGATCCAGGACACTCTACATTTATGGACATGGTCTCTCCCTATGGTCCAATACCATTTGGTCCCTATGGTCCAATACCATGTGGTCTCTATGGTCCAATACCATGTGGTCTCTATGGTCCAATACCATGTGGTCCCTATGGTCCAACACCATGTTGTCTCTATCATCCAATACCATGTGGTCTCTTCCTATGGTCCAATACCATGTGGTCTCTATGGTCCAATACCATGTGGTCTCTCCCTATGGTCCAACACCATGTTGTCTCTATTGTCCAATACCATGTGGTCTCTCCCTATGGTCCAATACCATGTGGTCTCTCCCTATGGTACAATACCATGTGGTCTCTCTGTGATTGTGGAGAATTCAACAGTTTTGTGAAGTTTCTGAGAAACTTCTGTGATTTAGGGAAATACCAGTGAACAGAGACTGGGACTGAGACAGAGGCAGAGACAGAGGCAGAGGCAGAGACAGAGGCAGAGGCAGAGGCAGGGGCAGGGGCAGAGACAGAGGCAGAGACAGAGACAGAGACTTAGACAGAGACAGAGACAGAGGCAGGGGCAGAGACAGAGACAGAGGCAGAGACAGAGGCAGAGACAGAGGCAGAGACAGAGACAGAGACTTAGACAGAGACAGAGACAGAGGCAGGGGCAGAGACAGAGACAGAGGCAGAGACAGAGGCAGAGACAGAGGCAGAGACAGAGACAGAGGCAGAGACAGAGGCAGAGACAGAGACAGAGGCAGGGGCAGAGACAGAGACAGAGGCAGAGACAGAGGCAGAGACAGGGGCAGAGACAGAGACAGAGGCAGAGGCAGAGGCAGAGGCAGGGGCAGAGACTTGGACTGAGACAGAGACAGAGACTTGGACTGAGACAGAGACAGAGACTTGGACTGAGACAGAGACAGAGACTTGGACTTGGACCGGTGCCTGTTGTGATGTCGCATGCTGAAGAACCCTCTGTTGCAGGACGCTCTGACGCTGCATAAGCCTCGTGGTCACGCCGTGCACATTCACGTGCTCGCTGTGCACAGAACGTTCCGGCAGCAGGGGAAGGGCCCCATGCTGATGTGGCGTTACCTGCAGTACCTGCGCTGCCTGCCGTACGTGCGCCGCGCCGTGCTCATGTGCGAGGACGTCCTGGTCCCATTCTACCATAAGTCTGGCTTCAGGTCCTTGGGACGCTGCGCCATCACCGTGGGCGACCTCAGCTTCACCGAGATGTGGGCCCCCATCAGTGGCCACGCCTACATGCGCCGCAACAGTGAGGCCATCCGCTTCCCACAGGGCCTCAGCCTGCAGCCCCTCGGGGCCCCTACCCTCAGTACAGCCCTGCTGCAGACCGAGGAGACCAGCGAGACCAGCGAGACCAGCGAGACCAGCGACGTATGACTGAGGAGACCACAGAGACCAGCGAGACCAGCGAGACCAGCGACGTATGACTGAGGAGACCACAGAGACCAGCGAGACCAGCGACGTATGACCAGGGAGACCAGTGAGAGACCAGCGACGTATGACCAGGGAGACCAGTGAGAGACCAGCGACGTATGACCAGGGAGACCAGTGAGACACCAGCGACGTATGACCAGAGAGACCAGAGAGACCAGTGAGACCATGTATGGTACTGTCAAAGACTCAGGTTCAAAAGGACATATTTATTGTTGACAGAAACATGTTCAACTTTATTTATTTACAGTAAATTATTCAGTTTAGAAAAAGTGTTTTCATTTGTCTCAGTGTGTGTGTGTGTGTTTGTGTGTGTGTCTGTGTGTGTGTGTGTGTGTGTCAGTGTGTCTGTGTGCGTGTGTGTTTGTGTGTGTGTCTGTGTGTCTGTGTGTGTGTGTGTGTGGCAAGGCAAGGCAAGTTTATTTGTACAGCACAATTTCATACACAAGGCATTTCAAAGGGCGACGGTGGCTCAGTTGGTAGGGTATTGGTCTTTGAGCCTGAAGGTTGTGGCTTCAAGCCCACCGTAAGACCTACTTCATGACTCCCACTGATGACTGCTGTCGTTGTGTCCTTGGGCAAGACACTTAACCCCACTTTGCCTGAAGCCCCCGCTGAAAGATCTCAGCTCCTGTGGACTCAGCACCTGCAGGAGGATCAGTGAGGGGCTGGTGCTCTGTGTACTGGGTGCAGCTCTGACTACCCCCCCCCCCCCAACCCAGAACAGAAATATGGATTAAGGGGAAGAAGATGGATGGATGGGCAACTCAAACAAAACAAGAAAGCATTAGAATCATAAATAATCATATTAAAATATAATAAATAATATAAAAATATAAAATTCCTCATATGCACAGCTAAACAGAACTATTTTTAACCTGGTTTTAAACAGTGTCAGAGAGGATCCATGTCTCACATCTTCAGAAAGATTGTTCCAGATTTTAGCAGCATGAATTGGTGTGTGTGTGTGTCTGTGAGTCTGTGTGTGTGTGTGTGTGTTGTTGACCTCAGACTAAATCCGTGGCTAAAGCGTTAATAGCTTCATCTGACGTCAACGACACAAAGACCAAGGTGAGAGGAGCTTAGACACACACACACACACACCAGAGAGAGACCAGAGAAAGACCAGAGAGAGACCAGAGAGAGACCAGAGAGAGACCAGAGAGAAACCAGAGAGAGACCAGAGAGAGACCAGAGAGAGACCAGAGAGAGACCAGAGAGAAACCAGAGAGAGACCAGAGAGAGACCAGAGAGAAACCAGAGAGAGACCAGAGAGAGACCGGAGAGAAACCAGAGAGAGACCAGGGAGAGACCAGAGAGAGACCAGAGAGAAACCAGAGAGAGACCAGAGAGAGACCAGAGAGAGACCAGAGAGAAACCAGAGAGAGACCAGAGAGAGACCAGGGAGAGACCAGAGAGAGACCAGAGAGAGACCAGAGAGAGACCAGAGAGAAACCAGAGAGAGACCAGAGAGAGACCAGGGAGAGACCAGAGAGAGACCAGAGAGAGACCAGAGAGAGACCAGAGAGAGACCAGAGAGAGACCAGAGAGAGACCAGAGAGAAACCAGGGAGAGACCAGGGAGAGACCAGAGTGAGACCAGAGAGAGACCAGAGAGAGACCAGAGAGAGACCAGAGAGAGACCAGAGAGAGACCAGAGAGAGACCAGAGAGAGACCAGAGAGAAACCAGGGAGAGACCAGGGAGAGACCAGAGAGAGACCAGAGAGAGACCAGAGAGAAACCAGGGAGAGACCAGGGAGAGACCAGAGAGAGACCAGAGAGAGACCAGAGAGAGACCAGAGAGAGACCAGAGAGAGACCAGAGAGAGACTGTGATCTGGAGGTTCTTTATGAATCCAGACTTAAATCCAGATCTTAGAATAATCAATGACTCTTCTGGCCCCTGGAAAAGCCATGTTCCAGCTTCTTCCCTCTGACAGATATTAGTGGCTGCAGGACATCTGGATATGCTAACATGCTAACATGCTAACCACTTCTTTCAGTTGTTCTCAGTCTGAACAAAGACTTTAATGAAGCAATTTTTGTTTCTGTTCTACTTTGTTTTCTTCCTGTCTTTGTCTAGGACACTGGGGACTCTTGCGTGTGTATTCCACTGTGGTTTTACTGCAGATGAAAAATAAATGAATCTGAATCTGTCCCCTTGTGGCGCCCCCTTGTGTCCAGAACAGTGTCCCCGACCCCCCATGGGCAAATTAGGGGTCTGGATGTGGTCGCACACCTGTGGAGGCTGCAACAACACAACACACAATGTGTCATAATCTCTCTCTTTAATCCTTCATTATCTGTGTTTGACTCACTCTGCAGCTCTGGCATTTTCCACACAACACACACATCACCACACAACACACACGTCACCACACAACGCACACAAAACACACGTCACCACACAACGCACACAAAACACACGTCACCACACAACGCACACAACACACACGTCACCACACAACGCACACAACTCACACAACACACACGCCACCAAACAACTCACACAACACACACGTCACCACACAACGCACACAAAACACACGTCACCACACAACGCACACAACACACACGTCACCACACAACGCACACAACGCATAACCCTGAAAAGGCATGTTTGAATATTTTATTATATATTTTATTCTATTTTTGACTTTGCATTTCAGTCACTAAAATTCAGTTTACAAATTTCAATGTGATTCAAATTTCAAAATGACATATTCACCTTCAAAATATTCAAAAAAAAATTCTATGAAAATAAAAAAAGAAGGATTGTTCCATCAGAAATTGAATTTTAAATGGACCTGAATTCATCTATTTGAATGTTTTTAACGTCTTGAATATTATTTCTGTGAATTTCAGTGACTGATTATCAACTTCATAATGTTAAATACAACTGTCTAAATTTGGCACAAAAAAATACGATGGTGAAAAATTGACATGACACGTGTGGTGTTCTGACGAGTTGTGTCAGTTGGTCTGCGCTGAAGCAAATGAACTCTGTTTTCTCTTCACTGAAGTTGGAATCTCTCGTTATGTCTCCCCGTTACTATGGATATATTTGTATATATATACAGTACCCTCTGACGCTGCATAAGCCTCGTGGTCACGCCGTGCACATTCACGTGCTCGCTGTGCACAGAACGTTCCGGCAGCAGGGGAAGGGCCCCATGCTGATGTGGCGTTACCTGCAGTACCTGCGCTGCCTGCCGTACGTGCGCCGCGCCGTGCTCATGTGCGAGGACGTCCTGGTCCCATTCTACCATAAGTCTGGCTTCAGGTCCTTGGGACGCTGCGCCATCACCGTGGGCGACCTCAGCTTCACCGAGATGTGGGCCCCCATCAGTGGCCACGCCTACATGCGCCGCAACAGTGAGGCCATATATATACAGTAATATATAACATATATCTATTATGCCTCTGACCAAACCTTTTGGCTCATATCTGGACAATTGTAACAATATATAATTTTATTATATGACTTGGACCGTACGCGCGCTCTGATTGGCTGATTAACGGTCTGATATTTTCCCATCTCGGACCGTTACCATGACAATTGGTCCGAACAGTGCGTATAACATTTGATATCTTTCCTCGGACCGTTACCATGACAATCTGTCCGCAGCGCGTATCACACAAAACCAAGTCGGACATGAACATTCTTCACAAATATCTCAAAAGCATTGGTAAAGACACAGACGAGAGTCATATAATAAAACATTTATTAACCTTGCTTGCTCGGTCTGTGCAGAGAAATATCAGACCTTTTTGCACAGACCTCGCCACGGCTCGGTCTGTACATTAAGGCTCGGTCTGTACATTAAGGCTCGGTCTGTACATTAAGGCTCGGTCTGTACATTAAGGCTCGGTCTGTACATTAAGGCCGCGGTCTGATATTTCTCCATACAGACCTCGCGCTCGGTTAGTAAGCCGTTAGTTATTTTAAAAAAACAGGACCACAGAGAGTTCTGTCTCAGTCTGTGAAGACGACATGAGCTCGGGTTAAGCACAGACGGTGAGTGTGATGTTAATAAAAGGAGGGTTTTGTTTTTGGCACAAAGGTTTTTGGGACAAAGTTAGAGCTAAGTTTGTTTGTGAGTTTATTTTTTATTTATTATTTATATGGTTGGGACAGTACATGTCAATGAACACATCACTCCGGATTGTAGCCATGGACTCATTTGCATCCGTCGTCCCACAGTCGCACTCACAAACACACACTCACCCTGAACTATGGCACATGTTTTTAGTGGTAAGAGAAACCGGAGTCTGGTTTATAGACAGAGATTAATCCTTTGATGTGTTTCTTTCATGTGGATGATGTGATCTTGGAACAATGTTCTGTCCCCGTGTCCTCTGCCCCTGTCCTTTAAACCCCCCTGAACCCCCCCCCTCGTTTCTCTGCTCTTCCTTTCCTATTTTCATGTAATCAGTGTAAAAGGTGTGACATGTGTTTCTCCCGTGGCCAATGAGGGGCCGAACCATTCTGATAAACATCCCACTGTGTTAGAGACCGACGTGGCGTCAGAGACCGACGTGGCGTCAGAGACCGACGTGGCGTCAGAGACCGATGCTTTCTATATTCAGTCTATGGTGCATCATTTAGGGACACAGTTTAAGATTATAATTTTGAATGATGTGCCTTTAATCTGTGAACCTTTAGGATCAATATGTACAGATTATATGAGGGTTATATTTAGAATCGTTTCACACCAGTTAGCAATAAAGCTACATACCTAGGGGTCCTTTAGTTACATAAGACAAACAAATATATTGGGGATCTGGCCTGAAATGTAGGAGAACTATGTTGTGTTGATGTTCTAAATAAATCAAGAAAAAATTGCAATTCAAAATTAGTTTTATCTTTAATTTCGTTTTATGAATAAGTGACAAGTAAACACAAAATCATCTAGTGTAAACTTTATGTCCATCATTCTTCTTCCAGAGTCATCAATATAATACAAAGAGCTTTAAGGCACACCCTGAAACCACAAAGACTAAAGCGACATCAACACAAGCAGCAGGTTCTCAGGAAGCGGTGACTCTGGTGGCAGAGGCAAACTTGAAGTTGGAGTAGGATGGAGCGTTGTTCTCAGTGGAGGCCGCAGGCAGCAGCAGCAGGCCTGTGGTCACGTCCTTCTTACAGCGCTCCATGGCCTGTTTGTAGGTGATGTTCTCTTTGGTGATGGGGTCTTGGAGCTCCTTTAAGTGGCGAGTCTCGTCTTGGAGCTGTTTGGCCATGTTGTCACTGATGAGTTTAGAATCCAGAGCCTCTTTGATGGACAGCCGTCCAGCTTTGGCGGGGTCCACCAGGCCTCCGGTCAGGTACTGTGCTTCCATGTACCTCTTGGCGTTCTCCTCAGGTATGTAGCCCTTCTGAGCAGCCGGCCCCACGGCCAGGCGCTCCTTGGTCATGGGGTCCTCCACTCCGGTGAAGGCCTTCTGGGCATTGAGCAGCTTGTACATCTGGGACTGGTCGATGAGGCCCTGCTGCACGGCTTTGTGCACTGACAGTTTGTCCTTCTTCATGAGGTCCACGATGCCTCCACTAGCCGCCTGAGCCTCCAGCAGCTTCAGAGCCGTATCTGCATCCAGGATTTTCCTGGTGAGGGCACTCCTCACCGACATGCGGCTGTCGGTCGTGTTGTCATAAATACCAGAGATGGGGAAGAACTCATCTCCTGCAGTGGAGGTGGACAAGTTCTGATTACTGGAGCTCAGGTGGTTGTTGAGGTTGGTAAGGCTGCCATAGGAGGACAGCCTGGTCCTGGAAGTGGGGGTGAGGGGGAGCAGAGAGCTGGGCACAGTTTTGGTGGGAGACCTGAGTATCGGGGATTGAGGTGGCAGCAGTGGAGGAACAGGGGTGGGTCGGGTGTCTCCTGCCACAAGAAGAGCAAACTCGGAGATGGGCATCTTGCCTTCCTTGTACCGGCTCAGGTCGTAAGTGGTGACGCGCCCGGACAGCATCGCATCCTTCACAGAGTATTGTTTTCCACTCTTGCGGTCCTGCAGAATGGTGGTGTCCCCATCTGGCCCGGTGGAGGTGATCTCCTCCCAGTCACACTCCAGCTCAGCCAGGTGGATGTACTGCTCTCGGCTGAGCAGACCCAGTAGGTAGGCATCATACGGCGACAAGCTTTTGCCCGTTTCTGGATCCAAAATGGTCACTTTAGTTGACATGTTGGTCTCTCTGGTGTGAGTTTCAGAATGGTCCTCTGCCTGGATGCTGTTCTGGAGCTCAATTATAATCTTTTCCCGCTGATGGATGATGTCTTTCTCGGTCAAGATGTCCTTCTCTAGTCGTTGGATCTCAGAGTTGGTCTTGAGACTCCTCTGGCGTGCCATCAAGTTCCTCTCACTGACAAGTTTGGACTGTTGCTGGAAGGTGATGCTGATGCTCTGCCGTTGAATCTCCAGGGCCTTGAGTTGCCGTAGGAGATCCTCTTTCTCTCTCTGAAGTGCTTCCCTGCTGGTGGTCAGTATGGTCTCCTCCTGAGTGACCACAGACTTGGATGACACCAGCTGGTTGATCTTGAGGGTGAAGCTCTGCAGAGAGTCCTCCACATCACGTCTCTTGTTTCTCTCCTGGGACACTTGTTCCCTGAGGTGGTCCCTCTGTGCCTCCACGGTGGGGTCTTTCTCCACACGCACCACCTCTCTGTACACCACCTTCTCTGTGGATTTCTCCTTCTGCAATATTTCCAGTTTGATCCTGAGGTTGCGTATTTCTCGTTCCAGTCGGCTTAATTCATTGCCCTCAGTTTCTAAATTCAGACGTATGCCATCGGTGAGTTTCTCCAGCTTGGGATCCCTCTCTACCTTCAGAACCTCCTCAATAATTATCTTTTCTTCGACTGGTTGCACAGCGGTCTCGAGCTCCAGAATGCGAGTCTTTATCCGCCGCAGTTCCCCTTCTATCTGGATCCTCTTCTGTCTGTCGTCCATCTGAGCCAGCATGCTCTCCTTCTCCTGGACCAGCACGCGGAGCTGACGTACTTCCTGCTCCAGCTTTCTTCTGGCTTTCAGCTCGTCATCCATGCTCTTGTTGAGCTTCTCGTATTCCAGGATCTGTTTGGGATCCTTTTGAAGGCGCACAACCTCCTTGGTGATGATCTTCTCCTCAGGCTTTTGCCGCTCCAGGGTGATGTATATGTTCTGGATGTCAAAGAGCGACTCTTCTAGAGTTCTGCGTTGGTGAATCTCTTCCCTCAGGTTCCTCCTCAGCCTGTCAGCCTCTTTCAGGAGCATGGGGTCATCTTCATAATTGATCTGTTCCCTTGTAACTAGCTTGGTTTCTACCTTGGACCTCTCCTCTCTCAGTGTGTCTCTCTCTTTGCGTAGGCGTATCAGCAGCTCCAGAGTGGAGTCCACGTTGCTTTGGAGACGGGACACCTGGTGGCTGAGCCTCTGGAGCTCCCTCTGTACCTCGGGGCTCTTCTCTTGTTTGATCACCTCCTGGGTCACTTCTTTGTACTCTACCATCGGTTTCTGGGCCCGTAGCGTGGACAGTGTTGAGGTGATTGTGAGGATCTCCTTGTCGGTCTCTGAGCGGTTACGGTGCAGGTCCTGTAGCTCTTTTCTCAGGCGCACAAGCTCCACCTCCGTCTCTGGATCCACTCTGTACAGCTCGTGGAGGATCTCCTTCATCTCCACTTTGTTCACCATTCTCTCCACTTCACTGTAGCGCAGCTGAAGTGTTCTCAGGTCCTTCATGAGGATCACATTCTCATCCTTCTCCTCCTCCAGGGCGATGCGCAGTTTCTTGGACTCCTCCAGGAGCTCCGGGTCCTGCTCCACCTTCTTGACCACTTTGCTCACTATCTTTGGCTGGATTGTGGGGATGACCCTCTCCAGATTATTGATTTCGCTGCGCACGCTGAAGATGTTCTCGTTGATCATCTGGCACCTGGATTCCTCGTCCGCCAGCTCGTTCTGGAAGATCAGGACGGACTTAAGCATCTCTGGATCCTTCTCCAGTCGCACCACCTCCTTCTTCACCACCTTTTCCCTGATCTTTGGCTTCTGCTGGGCCAGTACTGTGAGCTCAGTCTTGACATGGATCTTTTCAGAGTCTTGTGTCTGGACCATCAGGCGGATCCTCTCCATCTCCTCCTTGATCCTTGTAGCTTCGCGGTCCAGTGCTGGGTCTCTTTCGTACTCTGTCAAGACCTTGGTGATCAGCTTGGGTTCAATTCTGCTAATCTCCACTTGGAGTTTGGTCATCCTCTGGGTCATGATCTCAATTTCGGAGCGAGTTCTGGTCCTCTTTGTGGACTCTTCCTGGATCTTTCTTCTCAAAGCCTCCAGTTCTACCTCGAGCTTGGGGTCTCTGTAGTACTTAACCACCTCTTTCTCCTCCACCCGCTCCACACCCCTCCGGCTCTTCAGAGACATGAACCTCTTGGTGTAGGTGTCAAAGTCGGTCTCTACTCGCATTCGTCGGGCTGTCTCTTCACTAAGTTCTCTCTTCAGGCTACTACTGGCCTCCAGGTCTTTCTGCTGACTCTGCAACTGCTCTTGTTGGATGACCACTACGTGATTGACCATGTCCTCATTCTGGAAGAAAAGAGCATTGAACCGTCAGAATGTCAGGTGTCCTGGATATACAAATTTGACTGTGTTTGGAAAACTGACCCTGTCCTTGATGTTCTTGGTGGTGTTCAGCTGGTTGAGGAGCTGGGTGTTCTTGGCCGATACTTCAGAGTATAAGTTCAGTAAATCTTGTTCCTGTGAAACATAAGGAGGCTTCAGTCTTTACGTCATAAATTTGGAGAAGACACTTTAGTTCTATTCGACCTGTGGCCGAACAGTCTACAGATCTGAGCACATTCTCCAAAAGAAGAATTACTTTTCTAAACCCACACCGGAAGCTGCCAAAAGACACTGCCAAGACTGAAGTCCAATGAATAGTTAAAGGTTTTCTACAAAAACCTACAGTAGGAGAGAAAACCTCCAGTTGTGACCACCTGGAAAAGTGTGCAACTACTAAAATATGCAAACAGTGTAAACTGAAATATGAAATTTTGCCTGGTTCCTACAGTACATGGTTGTTTTAGTTCGGTCCTAGTTCTGTTCTTTTATAATGTTGCTTGAAAGTGTTAATACACCTTGAACATTTGTCATGTTTACATCAAAAACATAACGATTTTATCTTCAGGTCAGACGAGTAACAGACGAGTGTGAAGTGAAAAAAAAAAAAATCTGTTCTAATAAGAAAATCCTCATTATCTAGAAAATAGAATAGAATAGAATAGAGTAGATCTTTATTGTCTGTTCATATTGAGATTTGTCTTTCAACACGGCACAATTAAAAATCATTCATAAAACACACTTACAATACATTTAGCAAAGACACAACAGTTCATAATTTTTGCAGTTCTACCGGTTGTTTAGAGCAGTGACTGCAGAAGGGACAAACCATCAAACCATTTTTTCGGGCCAGCGGGGTTCTGTATCTCCTGATGGCAGCAGGTGTGTGGCCTCTTCAGAGATGAGAGTGGCCTTCCTCAGCATTGATTGGCTGTACAGCTCACAGAGCAGAGCACTGATTGGCTGTACAGCTCACAGAGCAGAGCACTGATTGGCTGTACAGCTCACAGAGCAGAGTTTGGGTGATTTTGCTGGCCTGCTTTACTACTCTATTGAGTTTTGTCCTGTGTTTGAGAGTGAGGAAATTGAACCAGGTGGAGATATTGTACGTGAGGTTGGATTCAGTGAGTGAGATATACACAGTTGATAATATGCCCTTGCTAGCATTAAAAGATCTCAGTTTCCTGGTGAGATGGAGGCACTGTTGTTACTTTAAAAGCAGAGTCTGCATGCTGCCCAAAGGACAAGCTGCTGTCTATTTCTGTCCCAAGGTATTTAAAACAGCCCACCTGCTCCACCTGCTGGCCATGGATGACTGGGGGTTGAAAAAGATCTGGTCTGTTTTCCTAGCAGCTCCTCAGCACAACTCCTTGGTTTTGGAGATACTGAGCTCCAGGGAGTTCTGAGCAAATCCACAAACCAGCATGTGGACCTCCTGCTGATAGTGTGCTAGGGCCTGTGCATCAGTGAGTTGTGCCACCAGAGCTTTGTCGTCTGCGTACTTTATAAGTGTCAGTCCTTCTGTGCTACAGGAGATGTTATTAGTGTACACAGAGAAAAGCACAGGTGACAGCACACAGCCCTGGGGGAGTCCAGTCCTCAGTAATAATTTGTCTGGACTTGACAACGTCTATCAGCACATACTGCGGCCTATTCTGTAAAAACTCCTTGATCCATAGAATCAGTGAATCAGGGTGTTATTATTTACTGTACTGAATGCAGATGAAAAATCCATGAATAAGATTCTCGTGTGGGGATATGCGGAGTCCTGTTGCCTTGTAATCCTGTCCAAGAGCATGATGGTTGCATCCTCAGTGCCTCGTTTAGCTCTGTACGCAAACTGGAGTGGGTCCAGTTTGTCGGACAGTTCAGAGGCCAGCTGGTCAGCCACCACCTTCTCCATGCACTTGCATAAGATCGAGGTCAAGGCTATAGGCCTGTATTCCTGCAGGTCAGTGGGCCTGGCCTTTTTGGGAAGGGGAATGATGGTCGATTCCTTCCACTGTCTGGGGACTGTGCAGTGGGGGAGGGTTCCAGCTCAAAAGTGGCCAAAATGACGTGCACTGACATGCTTGCAATACCACCCCGGGCCGATGAGGGTGGATCCAGAAGTAGAATTAGCCAATGCTAACATATAGCATTGGCAGACCTCTCAAAAACGTCTTTACAGGATGGACCAAAAGTTGGCTCTTGGCCCAAAGCTCCGTTCCACATGTGTGTCAACGCTGAGGGGGGTGAATTTTTTGGTCCCCTCTAGTTTACTTGCTGTGGACTGTTGAAGTCTCTCGTTCAAATGAATGGAGTTGCGCCGGCTGACGCATGCGCAGATGCGTTTTTTCACAATTTTCTTGTGGGCGGGACCACTCGCGGCCATTTTGGATTGCTCCAGTAGAGCACATTTTTTGGCTCATTAGTTAGAACGGCGGAGATAGGCGTGACTCTGTCCATTAATATATACAGTCTATGGGACTGTGCCGGAGTCCAAGAGCAGCTGGAACAGCCTGGTAAACACTCCACTGAGCTGGGTGGCGCATTCTTTGAGCACCCTGCCATCGAGTCCGTACGGGCCAGCAGCTTTGTTAGGGTTTATTCTACGCAGAATGGTGGTCACCATCTGTTCATCGATGGTGATATTGCCACCCAACCCTTAGGGTCTCAGCTGTTTCCTTGTTCCTGACCCTAATATTTTTTGTGACACACCCCTCAGTTTTTAACCGTGACCTGTACTTTGGAAACAGTAAGATCACATTATGATCTGATAGTCCAAGCGGTGGGCGTGGCTTTGGGACATACGCATCGGGAATATTACCAAAACACAAGTCTATTATTCTCTGCCCCCTTGTCGCTGTAGTCACATATTGTTCGAGACTAGGAAGGTGCATTGAGAGGTAGCACCTGTTAAAATCCCCCAGTATGAATACTGGCCGCTCCCCTGTTTGAGTGACAGCATCGTTATACCTCTCCACTCTGCGCTCTGCAGCTTGGTTGAAATCTGGAACAGGAACTTACACTAGAATGATTGTTATTTATCTAAATTCTCTGGGCAAATAATGGGGTCTAAATGATACAGTCAGCAGTTTGTGATGCTTGTTGCACTCCTTCACTGTGTAGTTGGTAGCCCACCGTTTGTCTACAGCCATGCACACCCCGCCCCCAACTGACTTCTGTGTTTTGACAGCGTCTCTATCAAACCGAGTGATGTTGTATCCTTCTAGCTCAAAGTCCACGTCTCTGGTGAGCCAAGTGTCTGTGAAGCAGAAGAGACTGGTCCGTTGGTGATCCAGATCCGACTTTATTAGCGATGAAAATCCGTCTGTTTTATTCTGGAGCAATCGCACATTTGACAATGTGATGGCTGGTAACGGTAGCCGGGTCCCCCTTCCCCTCCCACCTCTGGAACCTCTCATCCTTCCTGTCCGCTTTTGCCTTCGCCTGCGATGTGACTCTGTGGGTTAGGGTTAAGGTTTCTCTGAAACTGTTGTTTTGTGTTTTACACTTGTTATTAATGATATCTGTACATTTTACCAATACTAATAATAATTACTGCAGAACAGTGTTTACACTGATCCAGACCAGAGGAGCTAATGCTAATAAAGAAGTTTACTCTGAACCAGAGCAGACTCTGGTGTGGCCAGGTCTGTGCTGTGGAGTGTTGATGGTACCTGTTTCTGCACAGCTTGGGCCATGGTGGACGTCTGTCTTTTCTTCAAAGAGAGAACTTCCTCTTCGTCATCGCCTTCATCGTCTTCGTCCTGGTCCGGACACAGAATGTCACGGTACGTGCTGGACTTGGACTCGTACGTCTGTAACATCCAAAACATCTGTGAATCACTGCATGGTCACATCAGGAAGTGATGACAAATTAATAAGATTCAGCTCTTTCCAGCATTTGTCCTGTTTGTATTAAAACAAACTGTCTAAAGTACAATAACAGTAAATAACAGTGTGTATGGAGGGGGAGCCAAGAGAACCACGACAATAACATCAGACCAAACAGTTTTGAGCTACTTAAGGTATTTAGGGAGATCCAGCCTGTTGTGATGTCAGTCCTCTCCTCACCTAGAGTCTGTGCAAATGTGTTATACATAGTTTTAAATCCAGGCTGTAAGACATTTTCCAGAAGAAATAAGGTCACTGTCATGGACCCTTTGAGCCGGGACCCGCCCCCACTGGGACCCGCCCCCACTGGTTCAACCACATGTACATACTCACATAGAGGAGGTTCTGTAGATCCTGGGACAGATCTTTGACCCGGTCCAGATCTGCAGACTTCTTCTGGATGTCCTCCACCACTCTCTGCACAGACACACACACAGACACAGACACACACATCAGCACATGTCCGGTGGTGGTCAGTGATGCAGAACTGCTGACCTTCTGCGAGTAGAGTTTGGCAGAGATCTGAGCCGAGTCGTCGGTGGGTTTGATGGTGTTGCTGGGCAGATTAAAGAGGAAGAAGTCCAGGGACTGACTGGCGTTCTGGAAGTCCTGGTTCTTGTTGGTCGCCTCCTGAACCAGAGCCAGCCTGGGAACAATCAAAAAGTGATTGTTGTTAAAGCTGGGGTACCTAACTTTCAAACCACAAAACTAGCTATGTAATAAAATGAATAGTAACTAGAACAAATACAGCTAGACATAAAGTGACCGTGGGACTACACAACAACAACTGTATAAACAAAGGAAAAACTGGGTAACGCTTTATATTAAGGTGTGCTTATTAAGTATTAATAAGGTATTAATAGACATTAGCATCATGCTTATAGATTGCTTATATGTACTTATAGTGGCGTATGGGAGGGTAAACTTAATCCATGACGCCACGGCGGGCTAAGCAAGGGAGCAGACACTGATGACGCGCAGTCGGAGATATTGCACAGTATAATGAAGTTTATTGCGGAGAGTAGAAATGAATCAGGCACTTACTTGGAATGTTGCTATGTATGATGATGAAGATACCTCATTAAGACAGTGCAGATATTTTAATTGATGGAAACATGCGGTCAACAGAAAGTTCCTTCCCCAGCTCACCCCACCGCCATGACACAGGCACACACACACACAGCTGAAGTGAGCGCGTGCACTGAATAGACAACCACACCCACTGGACCCGTGCATGATACTATATGCGCGTGCATGTACTAGTCACATTCACACAGAAAAACAAAAACCCTAAATGGCTCCTACATTCCGGCCCCTAATTATTGTGTGCTAATAATTACCCATCACCATTAAACAAGTAGGAGACAGAACCATAACCCAAAAACACCAAAAAAGGTAAAGGTCTAGAGTCCAGTTTTAGTACGATCATAGAGTAGTCCACAATCTAGTAATGTCTCAGTTCATTCAAGTAATCCACAACGAAAGAAAGTTCAAAGTTATAATCCACACGATCTTCACTGCTCATCTGCTTCCTGCAAAAGGCACAACTTGGTAATCGGACGGTCCAAAGTACTTGATTTTGTTTTAATCTTCACTGTGCGTACTAATCCATTCCTGTCCGACACAGTATCCACGACTCGAGCTGTAATCCATGAATTACGCGGTGACATGTCATCCACCAGCAAGACAACATCTCCAGGCAAGAAATTCCTTTGAGCACGATTCCATTTTTGACGCTCTTGCAATCCTGGAAGATACTCCTTTAACCAACGCTTCCAGAACAGACTGGACATATACTGAACTTGTCTCCAGCGACGACGAGCGTAACAATCAGCCTTTTCAAACAATCCAGGTGGCAGTGACGGTTGAGATTTGAGTAACAGTAGATGGTTCGGTGTTAACGCCTCTAAATCGTTAGGATCTGTCGATGCTTTTGTTATCGGACGGCTATTAACGATTGCTTCAACTTCACAAAAAACTGTCACCAGGCCTTCTTCGTCCAAGGACTGAGTTTTCAGGACTGAGTTAAGGACTTTACGAACTGAGCGAATTAGCCTCTCCCAAACTCCTCCATGGTGCGATGCAGCTGGGGTATTGAAAACCCATTTTACTCCTTTCTGCATCAGCATGCCATTTACGAGATTGTGATTCCACTTGTCAATGGCTTCCCTTAGTTCTCGTTCAGCGCCAACAAAATTTGTTCCATTGTCTGAACGGATTTCCAGGACTTGGCCACGTCTTGCGATGAATCTTCTGAGTCCGTTGATGAAGGAATCTGTGTCTAGCGAGAACAGGACTTCTAGATGTACAGCTCGAATTGCCATGCAAGTAAAAATGAGTCCATATCTCTTGACTACAGCACGTCCACGCTTCACTTCAAACGGCCCAAAACAATCTAAGCCAACGCGACTAAAGGGGGGTTCGTCTGGAGTTATTCTGCTGTAAGGCAAGTCGGCCATTTTCTGATGTCCAGGTGATGCAGACATTCTTCGGCAGGTAACACACTTCGACAAGACCTTTCGGATGGCAGCACAAGCACCAGGAATCCAGTATTTTTGTCGCAGGTGGGAAAGCATATGATTGCGTCCTCCATGACCCGTTTCTTGATGTACGCGACTGAGAATTAAACTGGAAATGTGTAAGTCTTTGGCCAGAATCACTGGGTGTTTAGCTTCAACTGGCATAGCTGCTTCACTCAGCCTCCCCCCAACTCTAATGAGGTCGTTTTCAAGGATTGGGTTCAGCTTGTAGATGTGACTTGTTCTTTTTACACATTCTCCCTTCTCTAAGTTTGCAATTTCTTCGGGAAATCTTGTTCTTTGACAAAACATTATCACAGCCTTCTCAGCAGCAATCAAATCTTCCACTGTGAGGTGTACCTTTGAATATTGGGCTTTGTAATGTTCCATCCGGACCTGTACTTCTTCCTCCAGCTGTTTCGAACTTAGCTCGGGCTTGGTAGTAGTGTCTCTTAACAACCTTCTTTGACGCACCAAAGACAACAAAAGGTTCCTGAACTTAAGAAGCCAAGCAACAGCTTTTATCAATCCATGCCAGGAGGAAAAGTAGCTGATGAACATATCCACTGAACTTGCAGCGCAAACAGAGTAAGTATTCACGATAAAATTTTTAAGCTCTGGATCTTCAATTAAAGGCTCTGCAACACTGTCTGGGTTTAATGGCCAGTTATTCTCAGACTCCAGAAGAAAACTAGGACCATGAATCCAAGCATCTGCCTTTAGAAATGACTCAACCTTTGCTCCTCTTGAAGCCAAATCTGCAGGGTTGCTTGAAGTGTGTACATATCTCCATTGCGACACACTTGACAACTTGAGTATTTCCGACACTCTGTTTGCTACAAAGATCTTGAATCTTGACGTCTCATTCTTTATATATTTCAATACAGAGGTGCTATCGGTCCAAAAGATTGACTCTCTGAGTTCCAATCGCAGCTCTGCTCTCCAAAGCTTATCCATTCTGCTAGCCACCACAGCAGCAGTCAACTCCATACGAGGAATAGTGACCAGTTTAAGTGGAGCAACACGCGCCTTGCCCATCACAAATGCACAGTGAGCCTTTCCGTTCTTGTCATGGAGTAAGAGATAGGTCACAGTGCCAAATCCTTCTTCACTGGCATCTGCAAAGTGATGTAACTGGGCAGACGTGACGTCACTGAAGTTCACTGGTTTTAGACATCTTCTCACCTCCCAATGCTCTAAATGGTGGAGGTCCTCCAGCCAAGTCATCCATTCTCTGGCTACAGATGGGGGTAACGAATCGTCCCAGCCCAGACGGTTCCTACAGAGATTTTGGAGGATTTTCTTAGCAGTAAGAACAACAGGTGCCAGAAAGCCAAGAGGATCATAGACTGAACTGACAATGGATAAAATCCCTCTTCTTGTGAGCGGACGGTTCTTGAGTGTAATCTTAAACTTAAATGCGTCTGACTGTACACACCACTGTACACCCAAGGCTCGCTCAACTGGTAAGGCATCACTGTCCAAGTCCAGATCTTTAACTTCCTTGGCTCGCTCTTCTGGAGGTATAGCAGCGAGGACTGTGCGACTGTTGCTGATCCATTTTGTGAGCTTAAATCCACCTCTGGCGCACAACTCAACAAGCTCTTTACATAGAGACAAAGCGGCTTCTTCAGTGGCGACGGACACCAAGCAATCATCTACATAAAAATTGTGTAGTAGAGTGTTGATTGCAACAGGACTGAAGTGCTTCCGATTGTCCTCAACACATTTTCGAAGGGCAAAACAAGCACAGCTCGGGGATGAGGTGGCGCCGAAAAGATGTACCACCATTCTGTACTCAACCAGTTCCCGTTCACAGTTTCCGTCGGGCCACCACAAGAATCTTAACAGGTCACAATCTTCTGGCGGCACTCTGACCTGATGAAACATAGCTTCGATGTCTGCCATAAGCACGACTGGTTCTTTTCGGAATCTGGTCAGAACACCAACAAGCTGGCTTGTAAGATCAGGTCCTTGGAGAAGGTGAGAGTTCAAGGAGACCCCCTGGAAGGTGGCTCCCCCATCAAAGACCACACGTAGTTTTTTCTTTTTAGGGTGGTACACACCGTGATGGGGTATATACCACACTCTTCCGTCGCTTCGCCTCAACTGCTCAGCTGTAACTTTCTCTGCGTACCCATTCTTTAGCATTTCGTTCATGAATTTGACATAGTCTGAGCGAAAGGACGAGTCTTTAGATAAGCGTTTTTTGAGGCCGATTGCTCTTTGTTCTGCAACTGTCTTATTGTTTGGCATTTTGAGGTATCTTCGTTTTACAGGTAATCCAATACTATAGTGCCCATCAATATGGTTGACTGAATGTGAAACAGACTCCACAAATCTCTCATCCTCCTTTGACAATCCATGTTGTTCATCCTGTTTGGCCTCGGGAAAATCAATTTTCAGCTGCTTCTCCCACAGCTCATCCAGCCTTGCCACTGAGATCCGATTTACAGAGACGTGAGGCTGTATTTGTTTGTCCATTTGGCAATCTCCTCTGAGTGGGCCATTTACTGTCCAGCCCAGGATAGTCTTAACGGCATAAGGGCCCCCATTCACTGTGCGAACAACTTCCCAGGGCTCCAACGCCTGAGGTACATTAGTGCCAATAAGGAGATCCACATCTGCTTCAATCTCTGGAATTTGAATATGCCTCAGGTGTGGCCAACGCTGCAGGTCCTTTGCTTGTGGAATATTTCCTCGATGGACAGGCATGCTTTTTTGAGTGAAGATCTCCGGTAAATTGCAAAAACTCACTTGTTTTTAGACCAGACACCTCCAAATCTGTCAGCATATAGCTATCCACAACCTTTTCCTGGCCCATTGTCCGAAGGAGAATGCCCAGCTTCCTCCCTGTGAGGTTGAGACGATTCATTAATCTCTCGGTACAAAACGAAGCTGTGCTCCCTGGATCCAAGAACGCATAAGTGATCAGAGTCTCTTGTCCTCTTTTTGACTTCACCTGAACAGGCAATATAGACGGAGTACAGTCCTGCCTGCCGGCCCCAGTTAAACCACTGGACTGCACTGACACCAAATCACCTTCTCTGGCCCCTTCTGAGCCATCATTAGCCTGTGTAGAACCTTTTGATCTGTTTTTGGAGTGGACATGTAACAACGTAGGATGCTTCAGGTTGCATAATCTGCATGTGAGACGCCTTTTGCAGTCTCTACTCCTGTGCCCAATGCACAAACAACCGAAGCACATATTGTTCTCCTTCAGAAAAGACATCTTTTCATCTCGAGTCTTTCTATCCAAAAGAAGGCAAACATCCAAAGAGTGTCCAGCTCCACAGAACAAGCACGGCAAGTTCCTATCTCTTGTGTTCACAGGCTCCACTTTCTTCGCAGGTGCTACATTGGTGGCAAAACTACTGCCCCGTGGCTTTACTCCAGTCCGGAAAGATCCAGCTTTAGACTCTTTTCTTCCGGTTCCAGGTGCGTCTTGAATATCTCCAAAAAGAGGATCACTTGCGATCTTAACTTGTTTACTCACAAACTCCACAATGTCATAGAATGTTGCTCTACGGTTGAATTTTTCTTGTAGATCACAGGCAACACATCTCCAACGATCTCTTAGCTTGTAAGGCAGCTTTTTCACAATTGTTTGCATGTTAGAGGGCACATTCAGGTCACCCATAGATTCTCCCATGGAGTTGCAACACTCACGGAGCAGTAAACTGTAGGCCTGTAATGCCTTGAGGTCTTCTCCTTTTACCGAAGGCCAAGAGAGCACTTTGTCCATGTAAGCTGAGGCTACTTTAAATGGGTCTCCAAAATGTTCTTGTAGCAAGGCCTTTGCTTTCATGTACCCATGAGCGGGTGGCAGGTGTTGACAGCTTCGGACTATGTCTCGGGGCTGGCCTCTTGTATACTGCTCAAGGTAGTACAAACAGTCTTTGTGGCTGGGAGTCCGGTCTTCAATATTGTGTTCAAAACCTCTCATGAAAGTTTGATATTGAAGTGGATCTCCATCGAAAGCTTGCAGGTCACGTTTGGGTAACAGGAAAAGGGACTGTTGTTCAACAAGTAGTGATGTGATTTCATTCTGCTTTTCGAGGACAGTAAACAAGCGGTGGTCGGGGATGCTCTGACTTATATGCATGTTGTGGTCAGGTTGAATGAGAGGGACAGATTGATATAATGGAGCCTGTATTGATACTAAATGGCTGGGCCCTGTAGCGGTAGACTGTAAAACGTTTGGAAAACAAAAAAGGAGGAGGCTTAGCTGCTTTGGGCTTTGCTGCCACATAGAATGTCTCTGACTTTCATTTGAATATGTGTCTTTTAAAATACAACAAAAACAATCTCCTCCAATACTCTTCGTTGTCCTATACAAGCCACCGCAGTCATGTCACAGTTTTATTGATCATTTTACCGAGTTGCTTTCAGTTGTATGCACAGATTTTGATAGTTTGGTTATTACAGGTGATTTTAATATTCATGTGGATAATGTTGATGACAGAAATGCAAATGAGCTGAGTTCTGTACTTGAATCCTTTGATCTCACTCAGCACGTAAGTGGCCCCACCCACAGCAGAGGGCACACTCTAGATCTGTTAGTTACAAAGGGGGTGATTATTTCAAATGTAAACGTGGTCGATGTTGCTCTTTCGGATCATTTCTGTGTTTTTTTTGACATGTGTTTCACTAACAAACCACCAGTGGACTCTGCAACTGTTCGAAGAAGGCGCATAAATGAAAATACGAGTGAACTATTTATGGAAATGATAAACTTTGAGAATGCATCGTATTCTACTGTAGATGAACTGTTTAACTCTGTCACCTCTAGTGTTTTGAATGTTCTGGATACCGTTGCCCCTGTGAAGGTTAAAATAGTGAAAAATAAGCAGAAGGCGCCGTGGGCTAAAGCAGACTCGGTCAGGGCACAAAAGAGAAAGTGCCGGAGGGCCGAGCGGAAGTGGCGCAAGTCCAACCTCCAGGTAGATTACGAGATCTTCAAAGACAAGTTGTGCGAGTTTAACCGGGTGCTACGTAGTACGAGAGAAAGGTATTTTTCTGAAATGATTGAAGGCTGCAGCAACAATCTGCGTGTTCTGTTCTCAACAGTTAATAGATTAACAAACCCCCCTGTTCAAATGCCATTAGAGCTTACTTCCAAACGTAAATGCAATGAGTTTGCTAATTTTTTCAATGACAAGGTTCAAGGCATCAAAAGCGCCATTGTCTCCAATCCACAGATAACCATCCAACAGCCAGAAAGGCTCTCTGAGCTAACTCACTTTGCACCTGTAAATGATAAAACTGTCCAAGAGATAATCTCCAGTTTGAGCTCCTCTACATGCAGCCTGGATGTACTACCCACTAGATTTCTGAAGTCTGTTCTGAGCAGTCTGTTACCTTCACTCACACAGATAGTAAACATGTCCCTTCATTCTGGAATATTCCCAAAGGCCCTGAAAACTGCAGTCATCAGGCCCCTGCTAAAAAAGAGCAGTCTGGATGCCACTGTACTTAACAACTATCGCCCCATCTCAAATCTGCCATTTATGGGGAAAGTCCTTGAGAAAGTTGTCTACCTACAGCTTACTAGATTTCTTATAATCAACAAACTCATTTGATATGTTTCAGTCCGGCTTTAGACCCCACCACAGCACTGAGACTGCTCTCGTTAAGGTTACAAACGATATCCGGCTGAACACTGACGCAGGCAAAGTCTCAATCTTAATCTTGTTAGATCTAAGTGCTGCCTTTGACACCGTCGACCATGAGATCCTCTTACAGAGACTAGAGGACTGGGTTGGCGTCACTGGCACCGCCCTAAGTTGGTTTAGGTCTTACCTTGAAGACAGGAAGTACTTTGTGGAGATTGGAAACTGTGTCTCAGATCATATGGCCCTGACCTGTGGAGTCCCACAGGGGTCGATCCTGGGACCTCTTCTGTTCAATCTCTACATGCTGCCGTTAGGTCAGTTAATACGCAGAAACAAAGTTTCCTATCATAACTATGCAGACGACACTCAGATCTATGTCTCACTGACTGCAGGAGAACATGGACCAGTGGACTCACTCCTTCACTGTATCCAACAGATCAGTGAGTGGATGCAAAACAACTTCCTTCAGCTAAACGCAGACAAAACTGAAATGATTGTCTTTGGTCCCCAGAAACAAAGAGAGAGCGTCATCTGTCACCCACAGTCTCTCTCCCTAAAACCTTCAAACAAGGTCAGAAATCTAGGGGTAATACTGGACTCAGACTTAAATTTTAATAGCCACATCAAATCAGTAACATCAGCAGCTTTTTACCATCTAAAAAACATTGCCAGGATCAAAAACATAGTGTCTAAAGCAGACTTGGAGATTCTTATCCATGCATTTGTCTCCAGTAGGTTAGACTACTGCAATGGCCTGCTCACAGGTCTGTCCAAACAGGCTGTAAAACAGCTGCAGTACATTCAAAATGCAGCAGCTCGAGTCCTGACAAGAACCAGGAAGTACGACCACATTAGTCCAGTCCTCAGGTCTCTGCACTGGCTTCCTGTGGCTCAGAGAATAGACTTTAAAACAGCTCTGCTTGTGTACAAGTCTCTCCATAGCCTCGCACCAAAATATATTAGTGACATGTTAGTCCCATATGAACCAGCCCGGACTCTGAGGAGCACAGGGACTGGACTCCTGTTAGTGCCCAGAGTCAGAACTAAACATGGGGAGGCTGCTTTTCAGATTAATGCTGCTAAAATCTGGAACAGTCTTCCTGAAGATGTGAGACAGGCCTCCTCTCTGACAATGTTTAAAACCAGGTTAAAGACGGTTCTGTTTAACTGTGCATACAACTGAGGGATTTTATATTTTTATCTTTCTTTTTAATGTTCTGTGATAATTTATGATTTTAATGCTTTCTTGTTTTGTTCAGCACTTTGAATTGCCTTGTGTATGAATTGTGCTATATAAATAAACTTGCCTTGCCTTGCCTTGCCTTGCCTTAATCCATTCCTGGGTCGGGGGGGTGGCAGTCAGAGCTGCACCCAGTACACTCAGCACCAGCTCCTCACTGATCCTCCTGCAGGTGGTGAGTCCACAGGAACTAAGATCTTTCAGCGGGGGCTTCAGGGAAAGTGGGGTTAAGTGTCTTGCCCAAAGACACAACGAGCAAGACAAGCAGTCATCAGCAGGAGTCGTGAAGTAGGTCTTACGGTGGGCTCGAACCCACGACCTTCAGGCCCAAAGGCCAATGCTCTACCAACTGAGCTACTGTCGCGGGGGCGCTGTTCTGGCATTTTTTTGGTCCCATAAAAATAAACACCAAACACACAGTGTTTCCAGCGCATTCATTGATTCTACTTTGTAAAATGTTGTTGTGATTCTGGGCTAAAGAAAAAAGTTTTAAAAAGCAAATTACTAAATAAATATTCCTACTCATATCTATTATATACATTTTTATCTCAGCCCTATTGGAACTGCTTATGGTCTAAGACACATGTGTCAAAGTCAAGGCCCGCGGGCCAAATCCGGCCCGCGAATGAATTTTATTCAATTGCGTTTTCCGCTATTTTCATGCTCCCAGATGTCTATTATATTTAATATGTATGGGGATAATCTTGAGAGCATATTGAATCGAGCCAGCAGGTGGCAGCAGTGCTCTCTGAATGGTTTGAAAACAGCTAGATGCACTTGTTGTGCCTCTTTTTTCTCAACTTTTTGGTGATTTCAGTAAAACTTCCCTCTACTCAACTGGGGATTACAAGCTAGAAACAAAATTGTTTTTGCTGATTAAAGTAGACAGTCTATTCTTTCAGAATCTGGTTTCGATTTCAGATAGTCATAGTACACAATATTCTGTGGTTCTTGAAAAATCTATAAAAATCATCAGAAACTGCTGGCAATATGGGAGTACCTGTTCTGAAATAGGCTGGCAGGCAATGAGTTAATAAACATTGAACCAGTCCGGCCCTCGGCTCGCAGCAAATTTGTTTTTTTGGCCCTCTGATGTATTTGACTTTGACATGCCTGGTCTAAGACAATGGAGGAACATTTCTACAACAGTGCGTCACACCAAACCCCATGGTGCACACACAACCCCACGGTACACACACCAACCCCATGGTACACACACTAACCCTATGGTACACATAAAACCCCATGGTACACACACAACCCCACGGTACACACACCAACCCCATGGTACACACACCAACCCCATGGTACACACACCAACCCTATGGTACACATAAAACCCTATAAAACACATAAAACCCCATGGTACACATAAAACCCTATGGTACACATAAAACCCTATGGTACACATAAAACCCCACGGTACACACACCAACCCCACGGTACACACACCAACCCCATGGTACACACACCAACCCTATGGTACGCACCAACCCCATGGTACACATAAATCCCCATGGTACACATAAAATCCCATGGTACACATACAACATGGTATATTTAGAAAGATTATCTCATCAGAAAAGTCAGTAAATCCATTGACTGCGGAACACGCTGCTTTTATGGGAGAAACAGCAGTCCCTTGAATTCTCCAACAGCCTCCGGGCAGTGGCTAATGTTGTTTTTATATGTTCCTATTTGCAGTTCTGTATCGGAGTTAAGCTAATGTCTCCTCTGCACGGAGACGCACACAGCAGGAGGCGCTCACAGTAGGAGGTGCTACCATAAACTACCATAAGCTGTGCTCAAACTACGGCAAGTGTTTGTGTATCCTATGTTTATCCAGTTTGGGCCCAAAGGCTTAAACAGCAGGAGGTCAGAGTGACCAGCAGCGACCGTAGAGACCTGACCAGCAGTGACTGTAGTGACCTGACCAGCAGCGACTGTAGAGACCTGACCAGCAGTGACTGTAGTGACCTGACCAGCAGCGACTGTAGAGACCTGACCAGCAGTGACTGAAGTGACCTGACCAGCAGTGACTGTAGGGACCTCGACTGTAGTGACCTGACCAGCAGCGACTGTAGTGACCTGACCAGCAGCGACTGTAGAGACCTGACCAGCAGTGACTGTAGTGACCTGACCAGCAGTGACTGTAGGGACCTCGATTGTAGTGACCTGACCAGCAGCGACTGTAGTGACCTGACCAGCAGCGACTGTAGTGACCTGACCAGCACTGACTGTAGTGACCTGACCAGCACTGACTGTAGTGACCTAACCAGCAGCGACTGTAGTGACCTGACCAGCAGCGACTGTAGTAACCTGACCAGCAGTGACTGTAGTGACCTGACCAGCAGTGACTGTAGTGACCTGACCAGCAGCGACTGTAGTGACCTGACCAGCAGCGACTGTAGTGACCTGACCAGCAGCGACTGTAGTAACCTGACCAGCAGCGACTGTAGTGACCTGACCAGCAGTGACTGTAGCGACCTGACCAGCAGCGACTGTAGTGACCTGACCAGCAGTGACTGTAGTGACCTGACCAGCAGTGACTGTAGTGACCTGACCAGCAGTGACTGTAGTGACCTGACCAGCACTGACTGTAGTGACGTGACCAGCAGTGACTGTAGTGACCTGACCAGCAGCGACTGTAGTGACCTGACCAGCACTGACTGTAGTGGCCTGACCAGCAGTGACTGTAGAGACCTGACCAGCAGTGACTGTAGTGACCTGACCAGCACTGACTGTAGTGACCTGACCAGCAGCGACTGTAGTGACCTGACCAGCAGTGACTGTAGTGACCTGACCAGCAGCGACTATAGTGACCTGACCAGCAGTGACTGTAGGGACCTCGACTGTAGTGACCTGACCAGCAGCGACTGTAGTGACCTGACCAGCACTGACTGTAGTGATCTGACCAGCAGCGACTGTAGAGACCTGACCAGCAGTGACTGTAGTGACCTGACCAGCAGTGACTATAGGGACCTCGACTGTAGTGACCTGACCAGCAGTGACTGTAGGGACCTCGACTGTAGTGACCTGACCAGCAGCGACTGTAGTGACCTGACCAGCAGCGACTGTAGTGACCTGACCAGCAGTGACTCTAGTGACCTGACCAGCAGTGACTGTAGTGACCTGACCAGCACTGACTGTAGTGACGTGACCAGCAGCAACTGTAGTGACCTGACCAGCACTGACTGTAGTGACGTGACCAGCAGCGACTGTAGTGACCTGACCAGCAGTGACTGTAGTGACCTGACCAGCACTGACTGTAGTGACGTGACCAGCAGTGACAGTAGTGACCTGACCAGCACTGACTGTAGTGACGTGACCAGCAGTGACTGTAGTGACCTGACCAGCAGCGACTGTAGTGACCTGACCAGCACTGACTGTAGTGACCTGACCAGCAGCGACTGTAATGACCTGACCAGCAGCGACTGTAGTGACCTGACCAGCAGCGACTGTAGTGACGTGACCAGCAGTGACTGTAGTGACCTGACCAGCAGCGACTGTAGTGACCTGACCAGCACTGACTGTAGTGACCTGACCAGCAGCAACTGTAGTGACCTGACCAGCACTGACTGTAGTGACCTGACCAGCAGCGACTGTAATGACCTGACCAGCAGCGACTGTAGTGACCTGACCAGCAGCGACTGTAATGACCTGACCAGCAGCGACTGTAGTGACGTGACCAGCAGTGACTGTAGTGACCTGACCAGCAGCGACTGTAGTGACCTGACCAGCAGCGACTGTAGTGACCTGACCAGCAGTGACTGTAGTGACCGGACCAGTAGCCATGGCGCCCCTATGTGCGTCTGTAGTGAATCACACTATAATCTGTAACATCAGAATCAGAATCATTTTTATTGCCATGTAAATAACATGAAGTCACAGACTTGGAAATTGCTTTGGCTCTATGTGCAACAGTCAAAGAACATAAGAGTCCTGAAGGAGGTGTGGGGCCAGAGGTCTGTTTTCAAGTGAAAGAGTTCAAGTCTCAGGTCTCGTTCACAGCGAGGGACGAAAGAGCGAGAGATTTCAGTGATGCTGTCGCTGTAACATCTGTTCAAAGGAAAAGCTCTGGATTTACTGCTCACCTATGGTTCACATATGTGATTAAGGTTCTCATTTATTTGAATGTGAATGTATTCAGTCTAGGCAACTTTTGGTTTGACCTACATTGGAGTGTGGAAATCTACCATTGAGGTGTTGAAACCAAGCTAATAAATATCCACATTGTCCACAATTGGGTGTTTTGTGAAACTATGTTGCAAGACGTTGTCCAAGAAGTGGTTAATGTGTAACTTCACCTATTCTTGGGTTTTTCCGTTGTGAGGGTGTGGGTTTTCTGTTCTGAATAAATAAGCTGCCTGCAGAGCATCAAGCAGGACTTGGCTTTTGGCTGCGTTAGGACGCACAGGTCTCCTGGGCAGCCGTAAAGACATCTCCTCCTTGTTACATGCAAGTAAAAAACGAATCCCTTGTCTATTGTGTGCGTTTGTCCAGATAACTGTAGTAGAACCCATTTTACAACCTATGGTTCCTACAACCTATGGTTCCTACAACCTATGGTTCCTACAACCGATGGTTCCTTCCACCTATAGTCATGAGAATTGGCTTCTCACCAAAAGGACAAAGAGCCCAAAGAGTTTTCTCTGACTGGGCGCTCTCTAAAGCTTACTTTAGGACGGTTGATCTTTTCTTCTCAGTAGAAACAAAGATATTTGGTAAATTGAGCACCCTCTTGAAAACGAGATGATGCATCTCAAGAGGCTATTCCTCGTAATAAAATATGTCATAAATAAATAAAATAAAATAAATACTGCACTGTTGAGACATGTCAAGGTAATAACATCTTTAACTTACTGTTGTCTGGTTTAGAAGAACCAAAAACCTTCTGTCTCTACATCCTGCTTCACACACAACATTTAAAGGTGTCTGCAGATAATCCTAATCTGAGAAGACCCCACATGGGGATTATGTATCACAGATAAAACAGATCTGTTTGTAACATACTGTATAAACCCGTCCTGAGACCTGTGTGGATGATAGACGCTCTCTTCTTCCTAAAATCATACTTAAAATGGACCCAACGTTAAAACAAAGACATTGAGGATCTGTATCAGACACTGTTGGTTTCACATTTAAAATTGTAAATAACAAAGTCATCTTTATTTATATAACGCATTTTTACTGGTCATTTTACAGATCATTTTACAGGTCTCCTAAAGAGTTTTTAAAAGTTCAGAGTCCGATATTGTTCCATTCTCTCCACACGGTGATGAAGCAAGACCCACAACACACTGGTCCATCAAACCCTCCGACCAAACACCATCTACTCACTCGTTACATTCAGACTATTGCACATGTTTTTAGTGGTAGGGGAAAAACCGGAGCACCAGGAGGAAACCTATGCATACACAGGGAGAACATGCAAACTCGGATGTGGAATCAAACCCAGGATTTTCACCTGTAGTTAAATGATCCTAATGACAGTTAATACATGTATAAAGTGTATTTTGTGCCTATATTTCTTTTAAACAAGTCTAAAACAGTCTGAAACAGTTGGAAACAGTGGCCCGTGGATTATTCCGAGGGGAGCTCCGTCATCAGATTTAAAGTGGCTAACATCGGTGTTGGGGACAAAGTGTAATAAGTTGTTTAAACCCGTTCCCGGGGCCTTTCTTCAGGGCAGTGCAGTCAGATTTGTGGCTCTGGGTTTGTGTGGTTCGTGTCAGACGCCGGTGGCCGAACAATCAGAGCGACTCATTCATCAGAGAAACAGCCGCCGCTACGGGTCGTTAGCAATTACTGCAGACGACATGGGGCCAATCAGGCTCCGCTACACCGCTTTAATTGTTCTAGAGCCACAGTCAGGACCTGTCAGAGTCAGAACAAATGTATGTATTTACAAATGTATATATGTATTTACAAATGTATATATGTATTTACAAATGTATATATGTATTTACAAATGTATACATGTATTTACAAATGTATATATGTATTTACAAATGTATATATGTATTGACAAATGTATATATGTATTTACAAATGTATATATGTATTTACAAATGTATATATGTATTTACAGATGTATATTATTCTACTTTACTAAACTGTCGGGCACTGATTATGGAAGATGGCGTCTACAGAGTTATTTACATCTGTCTCAATCTAGAGCAATGTCATAAAACCTGTCCTGCCCCAGAGACTACACCCAGAGGCTACACCCAGAGACTACACCCAGAGACTACACCCAGAGGCTATACCCAGAGACTACACCCAGAGACTACACCCAGAGGCTACACCCAGAGACTACACCCAGAGACTATACCCAGAGACTACACCCAGAGACTACACCCAGAGACTTTACCCAGAGACTATACCCAGAGACTACACCCAGAGACTATACCCAGAGACTACACCCAGAGACTATACCCAGAGACTACACCCAGAGACTATACCCAGAGACTACACCCAGAGACTATACCCAGAGACTACACCCAGAGACTATACCCAGAGACTACACCCAGAGACTACACCCAGAGACTACACCCAGAGACTATACCCAGAGACTACACCCAGAGACTATACCCAGAGACTACACCCAGAGACTACACCCAGAGACTACACCCAGAGACTATACCCAGAGACTATAGCCAGAGACTACACCCAGAGGCTACACCCAGAAACTACACCCAGAAACTACACCCAGAGACAACACCACCTCCTCGGCTGCTGCTGTGTTGCACTTTTATATCTAAAAGAAAGGTACACTTGTAAAAAAAATTAGGGCTGTCGAACGCTAAACATTTTTTAGTTGATTAATTGCATAGTGATGGTGAGTTAACTCACAATTAATCACATTTTTAACATTCTATTTCAAATCCAGTCCAATTGAAGGTAAATGAGATGATCAAATGTAATGACACGTGTCATTCAAACCAAATGTACTTAAATCTGTGTTTAAATCTGTCAACCTTTTGCTTTTTCTGCACAAACATCATGAGCTAAGGGAAAATGTATGTACCCCAGCTTTAATTCAGCGAGTTTATTTTCAGGAGACACTTCCTGAGGCTCCATAGTTCAGCTTCAGTGTGTATTTGCGTGCACAGGTTACACAAAGACACGCACACGACATGCAGAGAATAGTTCTGTGCGTGTATGGTCTTGGATCAAGTTACCGCTGCGCCATTCGTCGTGTTGTTGTCAGCGGCTCACATCCGCTGGAGGTGGGAACCTCTGTCCAGAGCGGCCGCAGCTGCCCCGGGTCAGAACGCTGCAGCCACGGAGGAGGCGGACTTCAGTTCATAGCAAACAGCACGTGCCCCGCGGTCACGCGTGTATTCTTTTAAAACTGCTCTGTCGCCATCTCACACACGCATGTGTCCACGGCTCTGAGTTATATAATGGATACATGGGCGGGTCATTCGTAAATGCGTCAAACGCGTAATTTTTTTTTTTTTTACACAATTAATGAAAAATGTAATTAGCGTGCGTTAACGCAATAATTTTGACAGCCCTAATGAAAATACTTAATATTTACAGTCTATGGCTGAACTGGGAGGACCAGACAAGGCCCAAATATGGGAAAGTTCCACTAATCTCTTCGGGTGCCCATGGGGGGGCACCACTGAGCACAAGCCACTGATTGAACTGGCCGTCCTCTTGGATCTTGGGGTGGACTGAGCCTCCTCCTGCAGGAGGGTGATGTCTCTTTCTTGTGTCACACATTTCCCTCTGATTAGAGCAGATTTTTCTGCACAGATTGGAATAATGTGAACGAGACGATCACAGGACAATGACCTCTGACCTCTGAGACAAACAGCAGAAGGATTTTAATGTTCAGTCTCTGAGGAGGATTCGATTAAAACTGAATTTATTCTGAGGAGATTTTCCACTTCTTCAGTTCAAGAAAAAAACTTCTTTTTGGATAAATCTGAGAGACCAGAGGGAAGGAAAGGCACGAGACACAGGCCTGACGGCTAGACACACACACACACACACACACACACAGGCAGACACTCACACACACACACACAGACACACACACACAGGCAGACACTCACACACACACACACAGACACACACACACAGACAGACACACACACTTCATGGTCTTGCCCCGCCCCCACTATGTAACCACATTAAACTTAAAGCAATGAGGGGTCTCCGCACCAGAGCCTCCTCCAGAGGAGATGTGGAGATCCCACACAGAAAAACAACATTTGGACAAACTGTGCTGTCCGTCAGAGGAGGCCAGTCTTGGAACAGCCTTCCTACAGACATAAGAGAATGCCCGACATACAGCTCCTTTAAGAGACAACTTAAACATCACATCAAAGTAAATCAGTCATGCACTCATTTTAACTAAAATGTGATTTATAAAGTTTTTATATTGTGTTTTGTATGTATGTTTTGTTCATACATTGTTTTACTTGTGTGACCTGCCTCGGGACTACAGATGTAAATTAGCAGTTTTGCTATAATCTGGCACATTTACAATCTGTGTACAACTGTATATGATTTTTCATTAATGTGTGTTGTCCCGATCAAATAAATAAAAAATAAATAAATAAACACAGACAGACACACACACAAAGACAGACACACACACATACACACACGCACACACAGATAGACACACACACACAGACACACACAGGCAGACACTCACACACACACACACAGACACACACACAGACAGACACACACAGACAGACACACACACACACACACAGACAGACACACACACATACACACACGCACACACAGATAGACACACACACACAGATAGACACACACACACAGACAGACACACACACACATACACACACGCACACACAGATAGACACACACACACAGGCAGACACACACACACAGACAGACAGACACACACAGAGGAGAGAGTTCCCGAGGTGAGGGGGGAGAGTAGTTCCAGAGGGTTGAGGGAGGAGAGAGTTCCAGAGGTGAGGGAGGAAGTTCCAGAGTGAGGGGAGGAGAGAGTCCAGAGGTGAGGGAGGAGAGAGTTCCAGAGGTGAGGGGGAGAGAGTTCCAGAGGTGAGGGAGGAGAGAGAGTGAGGAGGGAGAGAGTTCCCAGAGGTGAGGGAGGAGAAGAGTTCCAGAGGTGAGGGAGGAGAGAGTTCCAGAGGTGAGGGAAAAAAGGAGAGAGTTCCAGGAGGTGAGGAGGAAGAGTTCCAGAGGTGAGGGAGGAGAGAGTTCCAGAGGTGAGGGGGAGAGAGTTCCAGAGGTGAGGGAGGAGAGAGTTCCGAGTGAGGGGAGGAGAGAGTTCCAGAGGTTGAGGGAGGAGAGAGTGTCCAGAGGTGAGGGAGGAGAGAGTTCCAGAGGTGAGGGGGAGAGAGTTCCAGAGGTGAGGGGGAGAGAGAGTTCCAGAGGTGAGGGAGGAGAGAGTTCCAGAGGTGAGGGAGGAGAGAGTTCCAGAGGTGAGGGAGGAGAGAGTTCCAGAGGTGAGGGAGGAGAGAGTTCCAGAGGTGAGGGAGGAGAGAGTTCCAGAGTTGAGAGAGAGGAGAGAGTTCCAGAGGTGAGGGGGGAGAGAGTTCCAGAGGTGAGGGGAGGAGTAGAGTATCCAGAGGTGAGGGAGGAGAGAGTCCAGAGGTGAGGAGGAGAGAGTTCCAGAGTGAGGAGGAGAGAGGTTCCAGAGGTGAGGGAGGAGAGAGTTCCAGAGGTGAGGGGGGAGAGAGTTCCAGAGGTGAGGGGGAGAGAGTTCCAGAGGTGAGGAGAGAGAGATTCCAGAGGTGAGGGAGGAGAGAGTGTCCAGAGGTGAGGGAGGAGAGAGTTCCAGAGGTGAGGGGGAAGAGAGTTCCAGAGGTGAGGGAGGAGAGAGTTCCAGAGGTGAGGGAGGAGAGAGTTCCAGAGGTGAGGGAGGAGAGAGTTCCAGAGGTGAGGGAGGAGAGAGTTCCAGAGGTGAGGGAGGAGAGATGTTCCAGAGGTGAGGGAGGAGATGAGTTCCAGAGGTGAGGGATGGAGAGTTCCAGAGGTGAGGGAGGAGAGAGTTCCAAGGTGAGGGATGGGAGAGAGTTCCAGAGGTGAGGGAGGAGAGAGTTCCCTGAGGTGAGGGAGGAGAGAGTTCCAGAGGTGAGGGAGGAGAGAGTTCCAGAGGTGAGGGAGGAGAGAGTTCCAGAGGGTGAGGGAGAGAGAGTTCCAGAGGTGAGGGAGGAGAGAGTTCCAGAGGTGAGGGAGGAGAGAGTTCCAGAGGTGAGGGGAGGAGAGAGTTCCAGAGGTGAGGGTAGGAGAGAAGTTCCAGAGGTGAGGGAGGAGAGAGTTCCAGGAGGTGAGGGAGGAGAGAGTTCCAGAGGTGACATGGAGGAGGAGAGTTCCAGAGGTGAGGGGCGGAGAGAGTTCCAGAGGTGAGGGAGGAGAGAGTTCCAGAGGTGAGGGAGGAGAGAGAGTTCCAGAGGTGAGGGTGGAGAGAGTTCCAGAGGTTGAGGGGGAGAGAGTTCCAGAGGTGAGGGGGGAGAGAGTTCCAGAGGTGAGGGAGGAGAGAGTTCCAGAGGTGAGGGAGGAAGAGTTCCAGAGGTGAGGGAGGAGAGAGTTCCATGAGGTGAGGGAGGAGAGAGTTCCCGAGGTGAGGAGGAGAGAGTTCCAGAGGTGAGGGAGGAGAGAGTTTCCAGAGAGTGAGGTGGGAGAGAGTTCCAGAGTGTGAGGGAGGAGAGAGTTCCAGAGGTGAGGGAGGGATAAGAGTTCCAGAGGTTGAGGGGGGAGGAGTTCCAGAGGTGAGGGAGGAGAGAGTTCCAGAGGTGAGGGAGAGAGAGTTCCAGAGGTGAGGGAGGAGAGAGTTCCAGAGGTGAGGGAGGAGAGAGTTCCAGAGGAGGAGGAGAGAGTTCCAGAGGAGGGAGAGAGAGTTCCAGAGGTGAGGGAGGAGAGAGTTCCAGAGGTGAGGGAGGAGAGAGTTTCAGAGGTGAGGGGGAGAGAGTTCCAGAGGTGAGGGAGGAGAGAGTTCCAGAGGTGAGGGAGGAGAGAGTTCCAGAGGTGAGGGAGGAGGTGAGGGAGGGAGAGAGAGTTCCAGAGGTTGTAGGGGAGATAGTTCCAGAGGTGAGGGAGAGAGTTCCAGAGGTGAGGGTGGAGAGAGTTCCAGAGGTGAGGAAGGAGAGAGTTCCAGAGGTGAGGGAGGAGAGAGTTCCTGAGGTGAGGGAGGAGAGAGTTCCAGAGGTGAGGGAAGGAGACAGAGTTCCAGAGGTGAGGGGGAGAGAGTTCCAGAGGGTGAGGGAGGAGAGAGGTTCCAGAGGTGAGGGAGGAGAGAGTTCCAGAGTGAGGGAGGAGAGGAGTTCCAGAGGTGAGGGGGAGAGAGTTCCAGAGGTGAGGGAGGAGAGAGTATCCAGAGGTGAGGGAGGAGAGAGTTCCAGAGGTGAGGAGGAGAGAGTTCCAGAGGTGAGGGAGGGAGAGAGTTTTCCAGAGGTGAGGGAGGAGAAGAGTTTCCAGAGGGTGAGGGGGAGAGAGTTCCAGAGGTGAGGGAGGAGAGAGTTCCAGAGGTGAGGGAGGAGAGAGTTCCAGAGGGGTGAGGGAGGAGAGAGTTCCAGAGGTGAGGGAGGAGAGAGTTCCAGAGGTGAGGGGGGAGAGAGTTCCAGAGGTGAGGGAGTGAGAGAGTTCCAGAGGAGAGGGGAGGAGAGAGGTTCCAGAGGTGAGGGTGGGGGAGAGAGTTCCAGAGGTGAGGGAGGAGAGAGTTTCCAGAGGTGAGGGGAGAGAGTTCCAGAGGTGAGGGAGGAGAGAGTTCCAGAGGTGAGGGAGGAGAGAGTTCCAGAGGTGAGGGAGGAGAGAGTTCCAGAGTGAGGGAGGAGAGAGTTCCCAGAGGTGAGGGAGGAGAGAGTTCCAGAGGTGAGGAGGAGAGGTTCCAGAGTGAGGGGGGAGAGAGTTCCAGAGGTGAGGGAGGAGGAGAGTTCCAGAGGTGAGGGGGGAGAGAGTTCCAGAGGTGAGGGAGGAGAGAGTTCCTAGAGGTGAGGTGAGGGAGAGAGTTCCAGTGTGAGGGGTGAGGGAGGTGAGAGTTCCAGAGGTGAGTGGGGGGAGAGATATTCCAGAGGTGAGGGAGGAGAGAGTTCCAGAGGTGAGGAGGAGAGAGTTCCAGAGGTGAGGAAGGGATAGAATTCCTGAGGTGAGGGAGAGAGGAGAGTTCCAGAGGTGAGGGAAGGAGAGAGTTCCAGAGGTGAGGAAGGAGAGAGTTCCTAGAGGTGAGGGGAGGAGAGAGTTCCGTGAGGTGAGGGAGGAGAGAGTTCCAGAGGTGAGGGGGAGAGAGTTCCAGAGGTGAGGGAGGAGAGAGTTCCAGAGGTGAGGTGAGGAGAGAGTTCCAGAGGTGAGGGAGTAGAGAGTTCCAGAGGTGAGGGGGGAGGAGAGTTTCCAGAGGTGATGGAGGAGATAGAGAGTAGAAGGAGAGAGTACATGAAGGAGAGAGTACATGAAGGAGAGAGTAGAGTACATGAAGGAGAGAGTACATGAAGGAGAGAGTACATGAAGGAGAGAGTACATGAAGGAGAGAGTACATGAAGGAGAGAGTACATGAAGGAGAGAGTACATGAAGGAGAGAGAAGGAGAGAGAGTACATGAAGGAGAGAGTACATGAAGGAGAGGAGTAGTACATGAAGGAGAGAGTACATGAAGGAGAGAGTTCATGAAGGAGAGAGTACATGAAGGAGAGAGTTCATGAAGGAGAGAGTACATGAAGGAGAGAGTACATGAAGGAGAGAGTTCATGAAGGAGAGAGTACATGAAGGAGAGAGTTCATGAAGGAGAGAGTACATGAAGGCGAGAGTTCATGAAGGAGAGAGTACATGAAGGAGAGAGTACATGAAGGAAAGAGTACATGAAGGAGAGAGTACATGAAGGAAAGAGTACATGAAGGAGAGAGTACATGAAGGAGAGAGTACATGAAGGAGAGAGTACATGAAGGAAAGAGTACGTGAAGGAGAGAGTACATGAAGGAGAGAGTTCATGAAGGAGAGAGTACATGAAGGAGAGAGTTCATGAAGGAGAGAGTACATGAAGGAGAGAGTACATGAAGGAGAGAGTTCATGAAGGAAAGAGTACGTGAAGGAGAGAGTACATGAAGGAGAGAGTTCATGAAGGAGAGAGTACATGAAGGAGAGAGTTCATGAAGGAGAGAGTACATGAAGGAGAGAGTTCATGAAGGAGAGAGTACATGAAGGAGAGAGTTCATGAAGGAGAGAGTACATGAAGGAGAGAGTACATGAAGGAAAGAGTACATGAAGAAGAGAGTACATGAAGGAGAGAGTACACGGCTCCTGACCTGCTTTACGAGGGACCACAGTCTCCGTTGTCTTCAGTGACGACAGTAAAGCTGATCTACGGGTTTTCAACTCAGACAACTCCCTCTGCAGGCTACACACACACACACAGGGTCTAAGGTCTCTGGTCTCTCTGGTCTCTAGTCTCTAGTCTCTAGTCTCTAGTCTCTAGTCTCTATAGTCTCTGGTCTCGTCCCTGGTCCATAGTCTCTCTTGTCTCTTGTCTCTCTGGTCCCTGGTCTCTCTGGTCCCTGGTCTCTCTGGTCCCTGGTCTCGGGTCTCTGGTCTCTGGTCTCTGGTCCCTGGTCCCAGGTCTCTGCTCCCTCTGGTCTCTGGTCTCACCTGTCCACCTTGCTGAGGGCCTCCTGGTCCGGGGGTGGGACCATGAGACAGGCCCCTGGCAGAGACAGCAGGAGACCCTTGTCGTCCTGAACCTCCCACGACCGAGGATCAGAGTTGGACCTGAGTTTGAGGGTCTGTCCCCGAGACACGGAGCCCTGGACCAGAACAGGTTAGTGTGTGTGTGTCTGTGTGTGTATCTGTGTGTGTGTGTGTGTGTGTATCTGTGTGTGTGTGTATCTGTGTGTGTGTTGCTGGTACCTGAGGTACCTCCCAGTTGCACAGAGACAACACTGAGGTGGAGGAGGAGGGAGGGACCCTGCGGAGCTTGAGGGGGACCACAGTGAGACTGAGGTCTGAGAGAGCAGACAGTCTCTGCTGGTTCCTCTGCAGCGCCGGCTCGTCTCCCTGGACACACACATGTTTTGCGTCAGAGACACACATCACACACTTTTCTCTTGTGTGTCAGAGACACACACTCTTCTGTTGTGTGTCAGAGACACACACTCTTCGAGTCAACTGCTTCGAGTGTGTTCGCCGATGCGGAAATACCGTTTAATAAAAAAAAAAACGTATTGCACACCTCCGTGAACACATACTGCTGTTATATAAAGTCTGTGGAAGGTCTCTGAACACAGACACGCTGCAAAACTGCATTATTGGAGAAGATCTTTACATGAGAAGCCGCTAGCATAACTGTTAGCATCAGTGCCCACCGGCTACTTCCGGCACTTCCGGCACGCGCCAGGACCTCTGGTCTGAAGACCCCTGCGTCTGAAAACTAGAGAACATACGTTTCAGCGCTGCCGATCTGAAAGCACCATAAGGGGGTTCCAGGGTCCTACAGGGTCCTACAGGGTCCTACAGGGTCCTACAGGGTCCTACAGGGTCCTACAGGGTCCTACAGGGTCTTACAGGGTCCTACAGGGTCCTACAGGGTCCTACAGGGTCTTACAGGGTCCTACAGGGTCCTACAGGGTCCTACAGGGTCCTACAGGGTCCTACAGGGTCTTACAGGGTCCTACAGGGTCCTACCTCTATGGCCAGCACCACCTCCTGGTTCTTCTTGTCCTTCAGCACCTTCGGGTCCAGATTGGAGTGAAGGCGGTGCATAGAGTCAGACAGAGTCTCTGCATCCAACTGAAACTGCAGACACCACAGAGTCACCGTAGAGTCACAGCAGACACCACAGAGTCACCACAGAGTCACAGACACCACAGAGTCACAGCAGACACCACAGAGTCACCACAGAGTCACAGACACCACAGAGTCACAGCAGACACCACAGAGTCACCGTAGAGTCACAGCAGACACCACAGAGTCACCGTAGAGTCACAGCAGACACCACAGAGTCACCACAAAGTCCCAGATACCACAGAGTCACAGCAAACACCACAGAGTCACAGCAGACACCACAGAGTCACCGTAGAGTCACAGCAGACACCACAGAGTCACCACAGAGTCACAGACACCACAGAGTCACAGACACCACAGAGTCACAGCAGACACCACAGAGTCACAGACACCACAGAGTCACAGACACCACAGAGTCACAGACACCACAGAGTCACAAACACCACAGAGTCATAGACACCATAGAGTCACCACAGAGTCACAGACACCACAGAGTCATAGAGTACCTTCTTGTAGTCCCGGATGTTGTCCAGATGTTCCTCTTGAGCCAGACACAGGTTGAGGAAGTTCTGCCACTCGGTCTGGATCTTTCTCTGGCAGCTCTGCAACACAACACAACACAACACACAATTATGTTTCAGACACACACACGAGTCCAACACTGCAGGCAAAGATACACTGGGACAAAGACATTTGGTCTGATTTCTAACTGTTAAGGACACATTTCTGTTTATGAGAGAAACCAGAGAGAGACCAGAGAGAGACCAGAGAGAGACCAGAAAGAGACCAGAGAGAGACCAGAGAGAGACCAAAGAGACCGAAGAGAGACCAGAGAGAGACCAGAGAGAGACCAGAGAGAGACCAAAGAGACCGAAGAGAGACCAGAGAGAGACCAGAGAGAGACCAAAGAGACCGAAGAGAGACCAGAGAGAGACCAGAGAGAGAGACCAGAAAGACCGGAGAGAGACCAGAGAGAGACCAGAGAGAGACCAGAGAGAGACCAAAGAGACCGGAGAGAGACCAGAGAGAGACCAGAGAGAGACCAAAGAGACCGGTGAGAGACCAGAGAGAGACCAGAGAGAGACCGGAGAGAGACCAGAGAGAGACCAGAGAGGGACCCGAGAGAGACCAGAGAGAGACCAGAGAGAGACCAGAGAGAGACCAGAGAGAGAGACCGGAGAGAGACCAGAGAGGGACCCGAGAGAGACCAGAGAGAGACCAGAGAGAGACCAGAGAGAGACCAGAGAGAGACCAGAGAGAGACCAGAGAGAGACCAGAGAGAGACCAGAGAGAGACCAGAGAGAGAGACCAGAGAGAGACCAGAGAGAGACCAGAGAGAGACCATCATGTTAGAGTTAGAGGCCTTCATAAATCAACATTACTTCAACAACACCATCAAACATGTAACATTATAACAGTGTAACATAGTTACACAGTACTACAGTACTACAGTAACATAGTTACACAGTACTACAGTAACATAGTTACACAGTACTACAGTAACATAGTTACACAGTACTACAGTAACATAGTTACACAGTACTACAGTAACTACAGTAACATAGTTACACAGTACTGCAGTAATGAGAACGGGTGAGCACATACATCTATAGTTTCTTTGGCCGGGTGTCCTGAGTCCAGGAGGTGGTCTCCTTCGATCTGCACCTGGTTTATCTCGACCTCATGCGCCTGGAGACCGTTGGACTTGAATCTCTAAAAACACAGACACACATTTCTCTACAGTCTCTACAGTCTCTACAGTCTCTACAGTCTCGATGGTCTCTACAGTCTCTACAGTCTCGATGGTCTCTACAGTCTCTACAGTCTCTACAGTCTCGATGGTTTCTACAGTCTTGATGGTCTCTACAGTCTCTACAGTCTCTACAGTCTCTACAGTCTCTACAGTCTCGATGGTCTCTACAGTCTCTACAGTCTCGATGGTCTCTACAGTCTCTACAGTCTCTACAGTCTCGATGGTCTCAATGGTCTCTACAGTCTCGATGGTCTCTACAGTCTTGATGGTCTCTACAGTCTCTACAGTCTCTACAGTCTCGATGGTCTCTACAGTCTCTACAGTCTCTACAGTCTTGATGGTCTCGATGGTCTCTACAGTCTCGATGGTCTCTACAGTCTTGATGGTCTCTACAGTCTCGATGGTCTCTACCTCGTACTCGGTCCGCACTCCGGCAGGGTCAGTCATGCGGTCGCTCCAGTCTCGCTGCAGGATTCGCTCCTGTTGCCCCGAGAGGTATAGCAGCTCCTTGTTGCAGGTTTGCATGTAGTCGTAAAGAGAGGAGAGGTGTGTGTGTCGCTGCTCCGAGGTCCTCTGCAACACACACACAACACACATGACACATAACACACACACAACACACATGACACACAACACACATGACACATAACACACACAACACACCTTTTGAGTTCATCGTTTCTATTTAAACCCAGCTGGTGGATTGCATCTGTAATCTGTGATTCTAGTGACCATGAAGGACTAAAGAAGGACCTGGTACTGGTTACACAGGACCATGAAGGACTAAAGAAGAACCTGGTACTGGTTACACAGGACCATGAAGGACTAAAGAAGGACCTGAAAACACTCCTGATCAAACGGTGACTGAGATCCAGGAGTTGACTTTTAGGTGGAAGTCAACAGGAGCAAGTTGGAGCCAAACTTCATCCATGAGCACTTCCCTCTTGGGCTTTGGGGTTTGCATGGTCCATCATAAACATCTGGTCTGAGGTTCATCACATTTATCATTTAACAAACTCGCATCATTGGCTGTAACTTCAGCATTGTCCTGATGTTATTTATGTATATTACACATAAACATAAATATAAATATAAACATAAACATAAATAAACATAAATATAAACATAAACATAAATAAACATAAGCGTAAGCTTCGTGGTGACAGGTCCACGTCTGTGGGATCAGTTTCCCTGAGATTAGACCGTCTCAGACTCTGCCTGTTTTTCCGTCACTTCTTAAAACTCTTCTTTTTTCACTTGCTTCTGATGATGTTTGATCTTAGGTAATATGTAAGGGATAACGTATAGTACGCAGGTCATTATCAGAAAATAAGTACCTTCAGGGCGAAGCGAACCCCGACGCAGGTCTGCTTCGCCCTGAAGGTGCTTATTTTCCTGCGTATGACCTGCGTACTATACGTTATCCCGCTTATTACACGGCTTTATACCAACAGAACACACAACATAAACTTCAGTCCACTTTTAGGAATTCCGAAAGGTTTATTTAAAATAAGAAAGAAAATAAAATAGTTCCCAAAGGCTTTCCCGTGGCTATGCTAGCAACAGTTGGGCTGGGAACTCCCAAACTAGAACTCTCTGGAACTGCATGAAAACTGAACACAGAATCTTGAACATCAGCGGTGAGTGACCCAAACATAAACTTAACCTAAATCCATAATTCCATCCTCTGCAAATGTTCAGAAAATGTGCCGGTATCTACTTCTGGGTTTTTCGGGATCGCCTTTTCTCGCATTACATCAGTGTTTTTGTCATGAAAACGTAAACGGAAAATTCTGAAAACTTCCGTGCACTTGTATTAATAATGTGTTTGTATAAATTACTCTCCGATTAACATTTCATTGCGTTGATTGATTGGCATTTGCGTTTATTGAGCGAACTACTTCCGGGTTTTTCACGATCGCTTTTTGACGCAGAGAAATAGTATTTTTGTCATGAAGACAAGACCAGAAAATTCTGAACATTTCCGTGCACGTGTGTGAAGAATGTATATGTATAAGTATTCTCCGATTAACATTTAAGTGTGTTGATTGAGCGTGGCTAGCTCCGGAGTGGCCGGAACTACTTGCGGAGTTATTCACGCATTTGAAAGACAAGCACAAAGTGCGTTGCCAAAGGGCAGCGGTCATTATTGTTTTGAGAGGTCTGTTTTGAAGAAATAATGACCGGTAGAATGTTTTGAAATTACATTCAGATGGAGCGTTCTCCTGCTGCTGTGAGGAGCTGTGTGATAATGTTTTATACAGTATACAGTATGTGTTTTTAGTCTATATGTTTCTGTGCACAGCACTTTGACTGAACTGTAAAGTTTTTTAAAGTGCTTTATATATAAAGCTGGTATGGTCTAAACATAAACATAAACATAGATAATAATATAAAAACAAAGTACTCACTCGGAGCTGGTCGTATTTGTCCTTCACAGACGTGTAGCTCTCCTGAACACACAGAGGTCTGAGGTGAGCTCTAAGAGGTCTAAGATGAGGTCTAAGGTGAGCTCTAAGGTGAGGTCTAAGTTTAGGTCTAAGAGGTCTAAGGTGAGCTCTAAGGTTAGGTCTAAGAGGTCTAAGGTGAGGTCTGAGGTGAGGTCTAAGGTGAGGTCTAAGGTTAGGTCTAAGAGGTCTAAGGTGAGGTCTGAGGTGAGGTCTAAGGTGAGGTCTAAGGTTAGGTCTAAGAGGTCTAAGGTGAGCTCTAAGGTTAGGTCTAAGAGGTCTAAGGTGAGGTCTGAGGTAAGGTCTAAGGTGAGCTCTAAGGTATATATATATATATATATATATATATATATATATATATATAGTATTATAGCTATATATTATATAGATGTATATATAGCATCAGACCTGAGACAGTGTGAGTTTATACATACATATATATATATATATATATTATATAGATGTATATATGGCATCAGACCTTAGACAGTGTGGGTCCCGGCTGCAGCTGGGCTCCGTACGCCTCGATCTCCTGCTGCAGGATGTTGTGAGCAGCTTTTTGTTTCTCTACATCAGACAGAGAGGGTCCAAACGCCTGGGACTGTATCTGCCTCTGACACACACAATACATATATACACAGTTACACACAGGGACACACAATATATACACAGTTACTCACAAGTACACACAATACACACACAGTTACACACATGTACACAGATACACACAATATCTGACATGGTTTTCCCTACCACTAAAAACACGCACAATAGTCTGAATGGTGTTTGGTCGGAGGCTTTGTTGGACCTGTGTGTTCTCGCTTCATCACTGTGTGAACGGAACAATATCTGAACTTTGTAAAGTGCTGTGGGTCTGTACCTTGCTCTGTAAAATCTACTATATTTATTTATTTTATTGTATTTGTTTATTTGACAGGGACAGTAGAACATTACTGTAAATGTACCAGAATTAGCCACAAGGCTATTTTTCATCCGTTGTCCCTGGACAGATTTAAAATGTCAACCTAAAAGCAAACACAAATACTTATATACAAAACATCAATGATAAAATAACAGTACATTTACCATAAACACCATCAGTTAAAAGTTAGTGTTGACATGTGTGTGATGAACCAGGATGAGCTTTGAGCAGATTGTATTGTCTGATGTGGGACTGTTCCACTCCTGAGACGCCCTCACAGACAAGGCTCTGGTGAAGGCGCTCTTACAAATGGTATTAAAAAAATTAATTTGTTGTTGGAATTTTTATAGATCTTCAAAAAGCCTTTGATACTATGGCTGGAGAGCTATCTATGCAAGAGGAGACAGATTGTTGAGATTGATCAATGTAAGTCAGGATTTCTGGACATAACTTGTGGAGTACCGCAAGGGTCCATACTGGGACCTACACTATTCCTAATGTATCTTAATGAAATATGTAACGTGTCGACCAAAATGAAATTTATCCTCTTTGCTGAGGATACCAACATTATCTATGCCGATGAAAACCTTGAGCAACTTTTGGCCTCGGTAACAGTGGAAATGAATAAGTTAAAAACACTGGTTTAATATTAACAAACTGTCATTGAATCTGACAAAGACAAAAATCATTCTCTTTAGTATTCGTAAAAGTAATATACCTATTAGAATTTTTATTGATGACACACCAACAGAGCAAGTCCAACCAAACACATTCCTGGGTGTTATCATTGATGAAAACATCTCTTGGAAACCCCACATTTGTTACCTTAGAACAAAAGTTACCAAATGTGTTGGAAGGATGAAAGAATCTTGTAATTTACTTCACACCAAAGCTCGACTCCGACTGTACCATTCACTCATAATGTCATATCTATATTATTGTGTTGAAGTTTGGGGAAACTGCTATGAATCCCATCCAAAGCCTTTGATCACCTGCAGAAAAGGCCATTAGGATTGTCCCTGGTGTACACTGCAGACATCGTTCTAATCTGCTGTTTGTAGAGTTGGAAGAACTCAAACTGCAGGATGTGACCAACTTTAAAACTGCTCAAACTATGTTCAGGAAATCTCAAAACTCTCTGCCTCCTAATGTTCAAAACTTATTCCATGATAGACATGATCATCATAGTTACAAACTTAGAGGAAACAAAATATCTACCTACATTTAGAATCACTCTAAAATTAATGTGTATCTCAGTGCTGGTAGCCTGGTCGCATCACACCATAGTACAAATGAAATTTCATACTAAGGTCTGGATTTGCTCCATTGAGCTCCGTTTACAGGTGGGAGGGGCTAACTCCTTTTGCAGATTGAAACAATTGGATCTGAGTATGTAGTGCGTCAGAGTGAGTTGTTAGCATTTAGCCTAGCCATCTCCTTTGCCGCTAACGGAGCCCGTGGGGAGTAGCGCCTCAATTTTTTCTAGCGATTACATTTGCTAAACATTACCCTTGCTCCGGCTTCAGTTTCTTGATAGAACCAGACCGGATTACTTTACTATCGCATTATTCACCATTGCCAAACTACAACCTGCCCGTTCGACGCAAACTCTTGACGTCACCCACATCTAACTACAACACTTGCCTTCCGCGCTCGCTCATTGGTCGGTCGAAATTCAAGTGATTGTAATCGCGAACACAGGGACCAGACCCAGACGTTACGTGCAGTGAAATGATGATTGAGCGGAGTGTACGGATGGATAAGGCCAGGCTACAGTGCGGGGAGAAAAACTTTGGAATAACTTGTCGGAGGAATTAAAAAACTGCCCAAGCATAATTCATTTCAAACAGTTGTTTAAAAAAAATATGTATTAAAATAATATATGGAGGAAGGAGAGTTATGCCCTCAGCATGAAGCAAAGGGGAGAGGGTGTAGGGTCAGAGAGTGTGTGTTGTGTGGTGTGTTGTGTGTGTGTTGTCTTGTTTGTCCTGTCTTTGTGGTCATGTCATATATTGTTTCACTCTATGCACTGTACAAGTTTCCAGCTGTTTATGAATGATCCTGTATGTACACTGTTCTTGTAGTGTACTCTGTTGAATGTGTGAGGGGGTTTGGATTCCTCCACCTCCTTTTCAAACCATGCACCTGTAAATCTGTCTGTTGTGTTTATTTTTGCGATGATGTTTGTGCAGGTTTTGAAATAAATATATATATTATCCATCTATAATGATTCTATTGTTTTTAGGGATGTTTTGTCTGTGACCATGTGGGTAAGCAGTATGTAATGTGGGACCGAACCATAGAAAACATGAATCATCTTGCAGAAGTGATAAGTTGGATCTAATGAACCGGAAATGAGCTCGTTTGAATTTGACTTTATTGGAAATGTTTTTTTATGTGAGATATGAATGTCAGTTTTGAGTCTATTGTTACTGCGAGATATTTGTATTCTGTCACAATTTGAATGTTTGGACCGGAAACTGAGATACTGATGTCATCATATGAAGGTTTGGATTTATTAAAAAACATACCAACCGTTTTATTGACATTGAGTTTTAGGCAGCACTGATTTAACCAATTTGTGACAGTTTGTCGGCAGCTTGTGCGGGGTTTTTGGCGTGTGTGTAAATGACTGTCATCTGCGGACATTTGAACAGTGTCATGTGGCCACACTGATGGAAGGTCATTGATGTAGCGTGAGAAGAGAAGTGGGCCTGAAACTGAACCTTGTGGGACACCGGTGGACAATGTGAGAAAGGGGGAGCAGTGATATATAAATAAACATTACTTACTTACAATATACACATGTACACACACACATGTACACACATGTACCCACAATACACACAGACACACACAATACAAACACATACAACACACAGATACACACACACACACACATACAACACATTATAAGTAGAAGTAATACAATGTATGGAACATACAGGCATCAGGTAAATGCCTGATGATATCAGACCTCTGAAACTAAGTAGGGACAGCTATGGTTAGTACTGTGATGGGAGACCACCGGGTGCACCAGGTGTATAGTCGTTTTACATTTGTGACCCACCCCAATGTGGCACCAGGTGTATATATCTATACATTATATACTGTATGTATATATGTATATATGTATATATATATATATATATATATATATATATATATATATAGCCGTTGCATCATAATTACATAGTATTCTATACGTAGCTATGACTGGAAATGGTGACTTTTTCCTCAATGGAGTGCCACATGGTTCAGGGACCAGACCGACATAGACCAGACTGACCAGAGACCAGACTGACCATAGACCAGACTGACCATAGACCAGACAGACCAGAGACCAGACTGACCAGTTTAGAGTCCAGCAAAGTTCCCCAGTCGATCTTCTTCTGCAGCTCCAGGTCCTGGACCTGTTCATAGACCTCTCTGTAGACCGCACAGTCATTGGCCCAGCGCCCATGGAGGTTCTTCACACTGAGGAACCAGAAATCTGTGTCACATGGTGCTGTGTCACATGGTGCCGTGTGTGTGTGTGTGTGTGTGTCTGTATATGTATGTGTGTGTGTCTGGGAGTGTCTCTGTGTGTGTGTGTGTATCCGTGTGTGTGTGAGTGTGTGTATCCATGTGTTTGTGTGAGTGTGTGTGTGAGTGTGTGTTGTGTTACTCTTTCTCGATGTCCTGGACCTGGGGGTGTCCCAGCTTCTTGGCTCGGTCCACATCCATGAATAGTTCTTTGAGGAGACCTTCAGCTTCTGCCAGTTTCTCTGCACACTCAGTCTGATGCAGGAAGGACTGGGACTGGACCTCCCGCTCCTGGTCCTACACACCAGCAACTGTTATAGACCAGAGATAGACCAGAGAGAGACCAGAGAGAGACCAGAGAGAGACCAGAGAGAGACCAGCTGACACTAACCTTGGCCAGCAGCTCCTCTGAGCGCAGCACGTCCTTCTCCACCAGGTCGGCACATCTCTGCATCCGACTAATCAGCTCTGCTAGCTTAGCAGCATCACTCCTGCAACACACACACACACACAGAGCCATATTTACACATCCTGTACCATCGGCCCCAGATCTGTGAGGTTCCTGTCTTTGTATATTGATATTGTCATAAAACACAACAGTAGTTATCTCAGAACTGTCGATTCTCCAGCACAGATCAGAGAATCACACAGATCAAACACTGACCTCTGTCCACAAGTGAGAAGGTCTCACACGTTTCTGTTCTTTGATCTTTTATTATAATTATTACACGCTTTGACTTAAGAAATATTAATGAGACTATTTCCTGTTTTAGAAACATGTGAAAAAAATATGTAATATATGGCTCCTTTAATACTTTTGTATTGGTTCCCTGGTCTCATCTGGTCTGGTTCATGATGAATACATTACTGAGCCGTCAGAGTCTTCCTGCTGACACGCCCCTCCCTGCAGGGGGGGGCGCTCCTGGGGGCCCCTCCCTGTGGCCCTGGAATGCAGTCGGAGCGGCCTGCATTCCTCTGTCCCACTGCTAATTATTTACGCTGCGGAGGTTTGTGTGTAGTAAGAGTTGTGCATGAAAGGGTGAGGTTCTTACAGCTTGTGAATGATTTAATGATAATCTTATCTCTGGGGGGCGGAGCCAGGGGCAGGGCTGTGGGTGGGGCCAGAGCAGAGGGCGGGGCCATGGGCGTGGCCAGAGTCGGGGCTCAGACTTTTCTCTGATGTGTGGATCCTGAGCTGCAGGTTTTGGACTCAGGACACAAAGAATATTCAACGAATAACATTTCACAGATTTAAGGACCATAAACACTGTTTACATCTGTCTACTTAAAACATGGTACAGTAGGTACTGAGGCCCACATGGTACAGTAGGTATTGAGGCCCACATGGTACAGTAGGAACTGAGGCCCCCATAGCACAGTAGGTACAGAGATCCACATAGTTACATAGTACAGCAGGTACAGAGATCCACATGGTATATCACTCTCACAGCCCAGAGTCGCACAGACCTGGAGGTGGAATCAAACCCGGGACCCTCTTGCTGTGAGGCGCAACTGCAGAAAATGACTTGTTTTGAACTTTGCTAGAAGTTCTGAGCCAAACACAATCTCTCAGTCTCTGCAGCGATGAACCAGCAGCAAAACACGGACCATCAACACAGAGACAAGGCCCTCCTGGTACAGTCTATAGGACCCTCCTGGTACAGTCTATAGGACCCTCCTGGTACATATATATGTAATGCATATAATTACTTTATAAATTATTATAAAGTACTAAACGTCTAAACAAATAGTTCAAGGAGCTTCAAATAAAACACTGTAAGAACTCAAACACAAAAAGTCAGCAGCAGACGGAAACCATCGACCAATTACCAGGCCTCACTCTGAGACCATCGACCAATCACCAGGCCTCACTCTGAGACCATCGACCAATCACCAGGCCTCACTCTGAGACCATCGACCAATCACCAGGCCTCACTCTGAGACCATCGACCAATCACCAGGCCTCACTCTGAGACCATCGATCAAACACCAGGCCTCACTCTGAGACCATCGACCAATCACCAGGCCTCATTCTGAGACCAGTTTCCCACGGAACAAACGCTGTATAAAACTGATTCATTATTATTATCATTTTGATAATAACTATTATTACTAATATAATAATAATAATTATCAATATAATTAATATAATAATTATTATTATTAATCTAATTAATCTAATTATTATTATAATATAATTATTTTTATTATTATATTCCTGTGGACTTTGATGTTTCCTCAGTGTCACGCCCTGAGCCCCCGGCTCTGCCTCTGATAAACTCTCTTAGCTTGTTGCACAGCAGTGTCCCACAGAGAGGGGTGGGGGAGTGAGGGGGAGAGGAGGGGAGTGGGGGAGGGAGGGGGGGGGGGGGGGGGAGGGGGGGACTGAGGAGCCCAGAGTCCAGAACCAGAGCCAGTGCAGATAGAAAAGTCCTGATGTGAAATTAGTGCAAAAAGAACCAAACCTGAAAACAGCTTCAAAACTAACATAAATAAAGTTAGTTTTAGTCTGGAGCACACTGGGACTTTATTCTAATTTACTTTTACTGTAAATGACAAATAATCTGAATCTGAAAAAATAATGAACAACATATTTCAAAAATATCATTTTAAACAAAATTGACTTTAGTTTGAAGCAAACACAAAAACACCTTTTTATTCCACTTTTCTTTTTTTTCCTTTGGATAAAGTGGTTTTGGAAACGAAAACACGAGACCGAGTCAAAACTATAAAGAGATAAAGATAAAGATTAAGATTAAGATTAAGATTAAGATGAAGGAACAACTCTATAGTAACATAACATCTCTCACGTTATGCTAATGCTAATGCTAATGCTAATGCTAATGCTACATATAACTAACATATAGTATATATATAACATATAGTATCTACTCGAGTACATCTAACAATTTACTCGAGTTGAATTACTTTAGCCTATACTTTAGGACATGGAAATGTAAACAAAACAAAAGAGTAAAAGTATCAGGTTCATCACTGCTACTGTGTGATATGAACACTGTCAGACTGTAGTAAGAGTACTGTCACTGTCAGACTGTAGTAAGAGTACTGTGAAACTGTCAGACTGTAGTAAGAGTACTGTCACTGTCAGACTGAAGTAAGAGTAATATGACACTGTCACAGGGAGAGTTAGAAATAGAGACTTAGAGACTGAGACTTAGAGATTGAGACTTGGGGTGCTTTCACACCTGCACCATTTAGTCCACTTAAAATGGACTGGAGTCTGGATCACCTGCAAGTACGGTTCGTTTAAGCAGGTGTGAAAGTGGACCAGTTAAATTTGGTCCGGACTAAAGAACCGCACCGAGACCACCATATGGAGCTGGTCTCGGTGCGGTTCCATGTGGACTCCAGTCTGGTTCGCTGCTGGTGAGAACGCAGACCGGCCTCAATGTGGCCCTGCTCTGTTGTGTAGCTCACTTTTTGACACACACAATTGTTTTTTTATATGATAGAATCGTCAAAAACACCCGCAGATTGTTCTCGTGCTGAATCCGCGATACATACTGGAACAACAGTATTTGTTCTGCACAAAACAACGATGATAAAAAATAGCCAAAAAACGCAGAGTAGCACAGTCACATACGTCATCCAATACACAGTATTTTGTAAACAGCGCCACCACATGGGTGGCGGAATATGTAACATCCACAGTGGTTGTACACAACTAGTTGAGAACTGCAACATTGTTACAACTTTAGGGCCCAAGCGAACCAGTTTAGTGGACCAACAGGTGTGAAAGCACCCTTAGAGACTGAGACTTAGGAGTGACACATGTCATGTGTCACTCACTATCATTGTTTCTTGTTTATGTGGAAACGGGAGCAGCCTTTAGAATGAATCACAGACACACACAGAGAGACACAGAGATACACACACAGAGACACACAGAGACACACACAAAGACACACAGAAACACACACACACAGATACACACGCAGAGACACACACAGACACACAGAGCGACACACATAGAGACACACAGAGACACACACATAGAGACATGGGAGAAAACCAAAGCTTTCAGACTTACGTGCTGATCTTGATCTTGGACATCTTGGAACGCACACTGACACACTCAGGTACACACACAGGTACGCACACAGGTACGCACACAAGTGCGTTCTGTCACTGGGATCTGGGAGCTGTGGCCCGGGGGTTGTGTGCGTGTGTGTGTGTGTGTGTGTAGAGGGAGGAGGCAGCAGAGGGAGTTCCACCTGAGCTCCTCCCAGGTGTGTCATCAGCAGGAAACAGGGCTGGGCCAGGCCATGCAGGGCAGGACCGGGCCGACCTGTTCCACACACACTCACACTCACACACACACACACACACACACACACACACACACACACACACACACACACACACACACACACACACACACACACACACACATGCCTCAGGTGGCTGTAACCCAAGAGCACTTTTCCTCTGAAGGCGGTGATTAGAGACAGAGAAAGTTGCAGTTTGTGTCTTTGCTGGAGGCATTTCTGCAGGTGACAAGTTTAAAAAAAATACTTACAAGAAATGATACTTAAAGCTCAGGTACAGAGACCCTGTGATGGTCCCACAGAGGATCACAGGTACAGAGACCCTGTGATGGTCCCACAGAGGATCACAGGTACAGAGACCCTGTGATGGTCCCACAGAGGATCACAGGTACAGAGACCCAGTGATGGTCCCACAGAGGATCACAGGTACAGAGACCCAGTGATGGTCCCACAGAGGATCACAGGTACAGAGACCCTGTGATGGTCCCACAGAGGATCACAGGTACAGAGACCCAGTGATGGTCCCACAGAGGATCACAGGTACAGAGACCCTGTGATGGTCCCACAGAGGATCACAGGTACAGAGACCCAGTGATGGTCCCACAGAGGATCACAGGTACAGAGACCCAGTGATGGTCCCACAGAGGATCACAGGTACAGAGACCCTATGATGGTCCCACAGAGGATCACAGGTACAGAGACCCTATGATGGTCCCACAGAGGGGTAATGTCAGTGTTGTACCACAGGTACAGAAGGACAGACGCGTGTGGTTATTGCACATTCTGACATCACTCAGATTATTGCACAGATGCACGAAGTCAGGTCTGCAGTGTTCTGTGTCCTCATTGTTCGTTGTACAGTCTGACAGCAGCAGGAAGGACAGACCTGAAGACCCTCTCTTCACAGTGAGGAACCATGTGGAACTCAATCCATATGGTTTGGACATCTCGGTCCAGAAATGTGCAGTGCTAGGAACAGCAAAGATACTGCGCAGAACCCTCAAGCTCCCAGGCCTCTGGTAGAGGACCCGAGCTTAGAGAGGGATAACCGCCCGCGGAGGGCCAAAGGTGAGTGGACAATTTTATATATATATATACAGTTGGTAGAGCATTGGCCTTTGAGCCAGAGGGTCGTGGGTTCGAGCCCGACTTTCACCATCGACTCCCACTGACTACTGTCGTTGTGTCGTTAGGCAAGATCCTTTACCCCCATTGCCTAGAATGAGTCTGGTGTGTGTGTGAATGGTTGGTGGTGGTCGGAGAGGCCGATGGCGCAGACTGGTTGCCTCGCTTCTGTCAGTGTGCCCCAGGGCAGCTGTGGCTACAGTAGAAGTTTATCACCATCATGTATGGAGTGAAAGAATAATGACATATAAAGGGTCTTTGAGCGCTACATAAAACTGATGCATTATTAAATATGTACATGTCCATCCATCCATTTTCTACCCTTTAATCCATTTCTGGGTCAGGGGGGTGGCAGTCAGAGATGCCACCCAAGTCTCATAGCACCAGCCCCTCACTGATCCTCTGCAGGTGGTGAGTCCACAGGAGGACGGCTGCTCTCTGAGTGTGAGCATAGCCTTGATCTTTCAGTGGGAGCTTTTTGGGCAAAGTGGGGTTAAGTGTCTTGCCCAAGGACACAACGACAGCAGTCATCATGCTGTACACAATATGTACATGTATAGTATTGTATATGTACAGAGACACAGAGACACGTATCTCAGGTTGTTTCCATGGCGACTGACAGTGAATTCTTCTGATGTGGACTTTGGCAGCGTATTGTTAAAGCTGGAATCTGAAATCTTCCGAATGTAGAATACAACAGTTTTTATCTGATCAGTTTGAGAAATGATGCGGTGAGACTATTAAAGCTGCTGGGACCTAACTTTCAAATACATCCAAAATGTTCCTGGTTCTAAACCAGTTCTGTCACTAGTTCTCACTTGCATGTTCTGTATTTTTATCTTTTGTCAGACAGAAAAGTGGAAAAGGAGAGGACCACCCCCTCACATCAAATCAGAGTCAAGGGCTTTGTGAAGTCCCCTAGACTGCTGTTATAGGGCTGTACTATGTATATGTATTCTATGGAATTCACATTCATTTATTCTCCATCTGCAGTAAAACCACAGTGGAATACACGTGCAAGAGTCCGCAGTGTCACCAGACAAGGACAGGAAGGAATGGTCTCTCTCTGGTCTCTCTCTGGTCTCTCTCTGGTCTCTCTGAGGGTGAACCATGGGTGAACGCACTGGTTTGACAGACACCATGAAGGTGTCTGGTATGCAGACAAACTAGTTCTTCAAGGATCGGACAATCTTGATCTGTATCGCACAGTTGTGAAAATATGTGTGTCTGTGTGTGTGTGTGTGCGCGTGTGTGTGTGTCTGTGTGTGTGATATGTACGGCTCTAGTCAAAGTCACAAATGACTTACTACTAGCTGCTGATAATGGACAAGTGTCAGTGCTGGTCCTACTGGACCTTAGTGCTGCATTTGACACAATAGACCACAGCATTCTACTGCAGAGGCTAGAATGTGATATAGGTCTGAGAGGAACAGCCCTTGGCTGGTTTAAATCCTATTTATCAGATCAGTATCACGTTGTCAATGTGAATCAGAACTCGTCGCCTTATTCTGGAGAGGAATTCGGTAAACAGGGATCAAGAGTCCCGAGCTTCCGGCTCGACCGCACGGCATTGTGGGTAGTTTTCTCAAAAAAGTGGGCATCCAATCACGCTCTCCTATTAGATTACCTGTTGCGAGCGTGATCTGTCTCTCTTTTTTCCAGCCCATCGATTGTTTTGATTGCTACAAACATCACCAATTTTAGACATTTAGAGGGTAAGGTAAAGATTTTTTTATGTAACAAAAAAGCAATGCATTTTTTTTCTTGTGGTTTTAGATGTAAACACAACCAGCTGACGATAGAGCTACACGCAGCTCATGCTACTTATGAGGATCCAATGCTTACACGAGCTTTATAAACTTACCCAAAGCTGTACTTTGGACATAGAGCCCTCATAGCGTTTCATTAACTTATAAATAACATTTGTGATCAGAGCATTCAGAGTGGGGACATTATTAAGAACAAACAGTGAGCTGGCAGAATAGAGAGGTGTGCGGTATAGAGAGGTGTGCAGTATAGAAAGATGTGCAGTAGGCTTTAAACAAAGTTATTTTCACTTTCTCTGTACACATGTGAAATCTCCGTGCTTCAGTGTTAGCCTGTCCATACAGCTCACAGTACTGCCTCTGAATGTCATCGTCTTCACTGAGGTCACTCCTGATGACGTGCTCCAGGTATTTGGCCTTCTCTACATTCAGAAGCTCCACACCAGACAAATATGTCCAAAGTACAGCTTTGGGTAAGTTTATAAAGCTTGTGTAAGCATTGGATCGTCGTAAGTAGCATAAGCTACATGTAGCTCTATCGTCAGTTGGTTGTGTTCACATCTAAAACCACAAGAAAAAAATGCCATTTTTTGTTACATGTAAAAATCTGTACCTTACCCTCTAAATGTCTGAAATTGGTGATTTTTGTAGCAATTAAAAAAATCGATGGGCTGGAAAAAAGAGAGACAGATTACGCTCGCAACAGGTAATCTAATAGGAGAGCGTGAGTTCATGCCCACTTTTTTGAGAAAACTACCCACAATGCCGTGCGGTCAAGCCGAAAGCTTGGAACTCTTGATCCCTGTGTACCGCAGGGTTCGGTACTCGGACTAATTCTTTTCACACTCTACATGCTGCCGTTATGAAACATCATTAAAAAGCATGGAATCAACTTCCACTGCTGCAGATGACACACAGCGTTATCTGTCGATGAAACCAAATCAGACGGATCAGTTGAAAAGGCTCAATGCTGCATAAAGGACTTTAAAACGTGGATGACTCTTAACTTTCTACTGCTTAACCCGGAGAAGACAGAAGTGATCCTACTCTGCACAAAGCGCCTGCGCGACTCCCTTACTGACCACATAGATGCATGGATGGATAGATAGAAAATAAAAAATAAAAATTGATCATTCCAAAAAGCTAACAATAGTAATAATCAGCAACAGCCCTTCAGGTCACAGTAGCAGAGGTGGAGTAGCCTCTGGGTGGAGCAGGACGGGTCACAGCAGCAGAGGTGGAGTAGCCTCTGGGTGGAGCAGGATAGGTCACGGCAGCAGAGGTGGAGTAGCCTCTGGGTGGAGCAGGACGGGTCACGGCAGCAGAGGTGGAGTAGCCTCTGGGTGGAGCAGGATGGGTCACAGCAGCAGAGGTGGAGTAGCCTCTGGGTGGAGCAGGACGGGTCACGGCAGCAGAGGTGGAGTAGCCTCTGGGTGGAGCAGGACGGGTCACAGCAGCAGAGGTGGAGTAGCCTCTGGGTGGAGCAGGAAAAGTCACAAGGTGGAGTAGCCGCTTGGTTCGGACCATTTTCTCTGCTCTAGAAAAAGTAAAAGTAGAAGGCTAAATGCTCTATTAGCATTTTTCAAAAAAGTTAGCATTCTTCCAGTGGATTTTTGCCTGATCTGCTTGGTTTGGACCATAAATCCTCCCCACTCCGGTCTGGACCAGTGCAAAACAATGAACACTGTACTGCAGCAACATCTCAGGTAGAAAAAAAGAAATACAAATAAAAATTGTAAAGCACAAAACAACAACTGTTTCAGAGACACGCCGTTTTCCAGCGCATTCAAAAGTAAACAATAATCACTCTCGATAATGTCAGTATTGTACCCAGCAACACTGTGAGGAATCTTGGGGTCATTTTTGAGGAAGAACTCATGTTAAAATCTGCTTG